GCATCGATCACGCGCTCGATCGTGCGACGCGAATTTCGCTTATATTTATTACATCTTCAATCTTATATTATTTGTAGGTTTACAACCTACCAGGACGCGCGCCGATTTGGACTCGTCGACGGTCCAATATATGGAACAGATATTTTACGAGTACCTTACAAGACTTTTTTGTGGCGGACCAATTTGCGACGACCGAAATTTTGGCGGTCCGAAAATATGGCGAAATTGAACAAAGACCGTCACATTTCGGACGTCACAGAAAATAAGGGTATTTTTCATCATTTTTGTGACAGTAAGCAGTAAGGAAATTTTTGAAATTCGGTAAAATCATGTTCAAACTTAGTCTGTATTAAGACTGTAAGACTTTCATGTTAGCACATACATGTATTTTAATGCAAATTTAAACTGTATTGCTTGACATTCAATTCGTCATTGGTGTGGTGATAATTTGTCCCAAGATGCCAGAATTTATTTATTTATTTTACTTGATATTACTTTTTAGAAACAAAATAAAGCAGTGAAGGCACAGTCATTGAAATAAGCTAAAAGATAATGCGACGGATTCTATTACGACGACCGAAATTTTGGCGGTCCGAAAATATGGCGAAATTTTCGGAAAACCGCCACATTTCGTACGTTATAAATATGTCTTGTAAGGTATCACCCGTTAATATATTATAAGCTGTTAGTGAAGTCAATCCTGATCAAAATATTCACTTCAATCCCGTGATTCTCGAAAAACTGGATTACAGAAAATCGGGATTCCCGGAAGCAATTTCAAATTTGCGCTTATGCCTTATATCTGCATTGTGCATGCTTGTCATACGTTGTATGACCCGCCTGTATCGTAGAAACTCTACAAGGGTCCGGGTAGTGAAAGTGAAACGACCGTGGGTGGTGGGGTCACAACGTGATACAAGTGCATGTCCCTTAGCTCTGTTTCAGTGATCCAGAGACCAGATTGTCCCGATGTTCAAAATCCCCAGTTCATGGCAGCAGATATAACGCAATCGGCCACTAACTGACGAAGATTTTGTTATTTCTGATGAAGACAGTATATCCGATATCGGCTATTTTTGCAATCTCGCCCGATTCGGGTTGTGGACCAGATCACAGATGGAGTTCCAGTCTGTCTTCTCAAGACATGTGCTCAAGAACTGTGCCAACCTATTACATCTATCTGGACGGAACCATACACCCTGGGACTTGTACCCAAATTCTATAAGGAGACACACATTCCTCCTCTCTACAAAAAGGGAAACCGGGCACATGCAGTGAACTACCGTCCCGTTGCCCTCACTTCACACATCATCAATATCTATGAGCGCATTCTACGGAGCACCTTGGTCAATGGTCAAGTACTTGGATGAAAATGAAATTCGGTTTGATAATCAACATGGATTTCGTTCAGGAAGGAGCTGTTTGACTCAGCTTCTTAGCCATTTCGATGACATGATCATGAGAGGCCTTTTGAGTGGGTCAGATACTGATACAATATATCTAGACTTTGCGAAGGCCTTCGACAAAGTGGACCATCGTCTTCTCATTGATAAATTGCAAAAGTATGGATTCAACGGAAGGATTCTTAAGTGGCTGGAGTTGTTGTTCTGAACGGGGTGTCTTCCTTCGCAGCCTTGGTTATCAGTGGTATCCCCCAAGGAATCGATCTTGGACCCATCCTTTTTATACTCTTTATAGATGACATGAAGCTTTGTGTGACTGGTTCAATTATAAGATTATAAGATTCTTTGCTGATGACACCCGTTTACTGAAGCACATATATATACAGAACAGGATGTTATCGTTCTTCAGCAAGATCTCGACCATGTTATTGCTTGGGCCAAACGTAATAACATAGTTTTACATGAGGATAAATTTGAGCTCCTTATAGTTCACCGGGGGAATCCTAATGAGAGTCCATGTATGAGCTGCCTTCTGTATTAACAAGTGAAAGGCTTAACTGAGGTCCACAAACTTTAGATTGTGCATTGGCGACTTATACAAGTATTACTGGCCAAACTATCATCTTTCCCTCACTTTTCTCCTAAAATATATTAATAATTTAATTACCAAAAATCATACGTTCATAAAGTTATACGTTCATAAAGCTACGATAAACAAAAATAATAATAATTACAAAAGAACAACTTCAAACACGACAGCAGGGGATTCCAACAAAACACAGCACACAAAACTAGTGTAAACTAACAACCACAGTCACCTTCCCAGTTCCAGTACTACACCGCTACACGTCATGCATCACAATGTAGAACTAGGAGCTAGAAGTGAGGTGACGGGGTAATCGGTTCTCAAACAAGTAGTCAAGTGTACTGATCATGTCAAACTTCTCCTGAAATCCATGTTTTTCAGCTATTCGTCGGAATTTGTTACTCAACAGCTTCCTATCAAAACCTAATTTAATAAACGCGTTTAACATCAGTTCAACCCGTTTCCTAAAGCCTTCAAACTGATTACAAATTCTAAAAAATCTGACTAGTTGCGACCCAAAAACTCCAATAAGTACATCTCTGGACATATTACTACATTTAGGGGCATATTGGACTATATTAAAAGGGAAATCGTCCCGTTTATCATAAACTTCTACAATAAAATAACCTTCAACTATAGAGATATTCAAATCTAGGACATGAGCACTAGTGTCCTCGGTGTTCTCCTTATTAAGAGTTAAACTATCAGGATAAATATTGGCTACATGCTCCTGGAAGACACCATCAGAATTAATAGTAGTAATGTCATCAATTAACCTAAACGTGTTATTAAGTCTCTTAGCGCTATAATAATCAATCCTATAGAGTTTATCTAAATATTTATACTCATAATAAAAAAGTGTAAGATTAGCAATAAAGGGTCCTGGGTTTACCCCAATAGGGACACCAATAATCTGTCTAAAAGTCATATTCCCCATGCTAAAATATGAATTATCTAAAATAAAATCAATAGTATTAATAAGAGTATCCACGTTAAAACGGAAGGTGTTTTCACGTGGATTCTTGACCCATGCAAAACCACTTTCATATATTGAAATATACGGACACTTACTGTGTTTAAAGTCTAAATTAACGACATCTTTAAGAGCTACTTTGATCTCATCATGTCTGAGATGTACAAAGTCGAAAAGTCATAGGTTTGGACATTACGAGCCCTATCAGACTCCATTATATAGCTATTAAAACAATCTAAAATAGGCGCATTATTGTCAATAATCCAATTACGCTTAATCCCAGTCACTTTAAACAGCATGCGTGAATAACTACAAATTTGACTGTAGACAGCTTTAAGTCCAAGAGTAAGGCGCTGTGCAATTGGTTTAACTGTACAGCAAGCGTAAGACACTACAAACCGCTGAGAAAACTTGGGTTTATGGAATTTAGGGAAAAGTACTATATGGGGTAAAACATCGTCCTTATTCGTATCATCAATATTTAACACATCCTTCATAAAAGTTTTCTGTAACTTACAAATCTCCTGGGTATTGGATTCCGTGATATGAGAATATGAAATAGAATTAGTCATACATTCATTCAAAATGGTATCTAAATAAAAACGTTTACAAATTATAGCGACATTTTTCGATGCCTTGTCCACGGGACAAATAACAAAATATTTATGAAAATATTCCAGCTCCGCTTCAACAAATGGGTCAGAAAAGACTGAAACCACATCACTGCTACGTTTATATCGCTTTTTTAAACAATCAACGGCATCAGTTAGTAATTCTCGGAATTTCTCCTTCCACCCATCAAAGCAGACTAAAGCTACTTTCTCCTTTTCACTCCAACTCTTAACAAACTTATCTAAATTCTCTAAAATAGTACGTTGAGCAAAATTAAAATCTAGAACTGCGGGTTCCTTGAAACTAGGCCCTTTAGAAATAATATTCCTTAGCATCTGATTACTAATAATAGAAACATCCCCTGTAGCGACATGATTACAATCGCCGTTAATATATTCCTCATGCTTATTACATATACAATCATAATCTTCAATACACTTAAAATCGTTAACCGTATCATTATAATTAAATAATTTACTAGATATTTTAGGCGTGTTAGTGAATACAACTGAAGGTTCATTAATATTACATTGGCTAATATAGGACTTTAAAGATTTATCCCTGAAAATTCTGGGTAAATTTATCATATCAATAGCCTTATTAACAAATTTAACTTTAAACATGAATTTCTGTTTCTTTTTAGAAACTTTAGGGCATTTCCATACATTAAACGGCTTAATTTTATACATTAAAAGATCTGTAATCACAAAATGGGCATGTCTGCGTAGAATATCATGCTTCAAAACATTATCATTAAAAACATTATCTAAATATAATTCTCTAACTTTATTCAGTTTATCACGTTTCAAAGGGAATAAAATACGTTTAGTTTTAGTAATACATGAGGTATGAAAAGGTTCATTAACAATCAATAGTAAACTATTTACGATATTTAAAACATCGATACTGCCAGACCCACTACTCCAAGACCTCCTTCTCCTGCTCTTCAAGGAAGTAAACTTAGCAAATTCACAATTGTAATAACCTTTGTCAAACACAAACATACAAGGTGTCTGGCCTGACCTCTAGTAGGTAGTATGCATGTGATGGGGGTGATTCTGAATGATTCTTCAAAAATACATCGATTAAAGTTGGTTTGAACTGCCTGGGGCCCTTTCAGAAATATCTCGAAGTTTCGGTGTACGGCGATGTAGTACTAGTACTCCGTTTTCTGAAGAGCTACTCAGCATTTTACGAAACACTGACGTAAGACCTGTAACACTATACTCTACTGCGGTACATCACGTGGTCTGACTTATTACCAATGTGGTATTCAAGTGACCTGCATATTATCTCAGTAACATAATATTATAAGCCTACTCTAGCGCGTCACGGGACAGTGGGACACCACGTGACAGTACCACGTGACTCACGACAGAGCATTCCTCTCTGATTACATTATTACATTATTCTACTCACAATCTTTGTCTTGAGCTCACCGTGCTGTTTTCTTTATTGTTTAAACTCGCACTCTCGTTATCTTCAACTGTGTTTCTTTGATTTCCGGACTTAAAGTTGATCATCTTGGGCGTTTGATACATATCTGGTAGGTTAGTATATTGATATATATCTGGTACTTGGTAGGTTATATAATTATCATACCATATTATGTGGACCCAAATTCTTATCTAAATTGATTTGTGACCTGTACTGCAAAAATGACCATCGATAGCTATAATTAGATAAAAAGAATCGTTTCATGGTACAGTTAATAGTCACTGATAGAAGTTGGAACAGTGCCAATCATCAGTGCCCGAATTATCATCTGTCCGCCTAATTCGAGCGTTTTACCAATTTGATATAATGTAATGCTTCTGCTTGTCAGCTGAGCACCTTTTTCGGAAACTAAATAAAAACTCACAAGTAATTTAAATATGATGATTATCATCTTATATTTATCGTTCAAACTATAAAGTACCTGACCTTAACGGGTGATACTCGTAAAATATCTGTTCCATATATTGGACCGTCGACGAGTCCAACTCGGCGCGCGTCCTGGTAGGTTGTAAATCTACAAACCTGACCATATTCCATAAGATGTTGAATGTTCACGATTGTTGATGATCGCAAACATTTTCAGACAGAGGTATCCAGTGGTATACGAGTGACAAGCTTCATTACTGAGGCATTGAATCTACTTCCTAACTGTGTTATTACGAATCAAGAAGAACCTAGTACACAAATTTCAAGTGAGTTCCTTTGCTTTACAACCTATTTTATAAGGCCTCCTTTTTTTATTAACAATTCTGTTATTAATAATTTTATTTCACTATTCGTGTAATTCTCATTTTACTCGTTTTGTGGTTTAATTTACTAATCTACAAGTTTATTCTCCGTGATATGTAATCACAGCACGATTTACTATTATTATTAATTAACATTATGTTTAATATTTTAGGTACTGGACCCAGGCCTGCAATCATTCAGCGTTTATAACTTCTTCCTATTAACTGTAAAGCTCAACACCAACCTTTACATTAAGGTAAATATACATTTGTTTAGTTCATATTCCGATATTAGTCTTGAATGATGACTCCTGATTCACATTTACAAATATTAATAGCTTGAACGGGCTGAGTAAGTTACATCCGAATCCCGACGGCACTCTCGCCGCACTCTCGTGGCACTATGCAGGCGGCACTCTCGCGGCATAGTAGCGACTTAGTGCCAACTTGTAATAATGTTCGCTTCAAAGTATTACCCTTTATTTACTAGCTTTGTCAATCGCTCTATCAGCATCATCTGATGACGTGTCACATGCTATTAAATTATGGGCGTTCCGATAACATTCCGGCAGGATACACTTGAGGTATCACATTATAGAGATAACGAGTCCTACAGATGTTCTAGAATCTGGATTGGTATGACGTAGACATAAATTAGGACGTGAGGTGTGCCGTGTGTCATGTGAAATGTGAATGTTACGTTGTACCTAGCAAACAAGTCACAGAACAAGGTACCTATATAAGACGAGCTCCATAGGAAAATAGTGTCAGTTATCTGTTCTATCAACTTTATACTTCTCAGCGTGGTGGCCCAAGGACCCACGTAACGTTCCCTCCACCATTCTTCCATAGCACATAGTTGTACTTTATCTTTCCAAATTAAGCCTCATCGTTAGTTGTTAGCATTGTGTGAATTAGCCTTCCTTTTTAAAGAATTATAATATTGATATTAATATTTGTGTGCAATTCTCACTACTCGTTTTGTGGTTAAATTTACTATTACTATAATACACAGCTCCATGGCACCAGGCGGCAGGCACGCTATTTTTAAGCTGTAAGATTAAAAAAACTCACGCGGAGTATATCAAATTTCAGTGATAAGGATCAAAACAACTTCAAACTTATTCGAGCAACTACTTCCTAACTGTAATCTATCTTGTGACTTCACAAGATAGATTCATTTATATAATTTTAATGATTGTTCAGGTGGGAAATAACTATCATAGAACCGCGATACTAAATTAATGATGAATCATGAAAGTATACTAGTCTGAGAAAAAATGATATGGAGTATGGACTAAGAGATTTCAGATCTGAAAAGGCTATAACCGGGAAGCATTTAATCTAAAATCAACACGGAAATTGGGTACAGTCCGACCGGCTATTAACTTGACTCATGAATGTTATGTAATTTTTGCAATATATAAAGATAAAATTAGCATCTACATTCTACATGTATAACTAGAAGCGCCACAATTTTTGGGAAAAGGGGTTACAAAAGGGAGCATAATAAATGTTATCATTAATTTTTGGAATCAACACACTGCTTTATACAAACAAAATCGTCTCTTTTCAACAAAGTAATAAACATTTTATCGGCTCTTATTATTTGACGCTGCTCCTAATATATTATAATTCGAAAAGATCTGGCTTTTGACGCATCAGTTACACAGTTATATAACTACTGTTTTATAGGAAAATAAGGAAACACACCACTGAAACAAACCTCGGACCCTCTATTCAATTCAAGGCACTAAACGCAAAACGACCACTGAACGACCACTGAACAAGTAAGTCATTGAAATGAAATGAAATGAAATGAAATGAAATGAAATGAAATGAAATGAAAATGAAATGAAATGAAATGAAATGAAATGAACTGAAATGAAATGAAATGAAATGAAATGAAATGAAATGAAATGAAATGAAATGAAATGAAATGAAATGAAATGAAATGAAATGAAATGAAATGAAATGAAATGAAATGAAATGAAATGAAATGAAATGAAATGAAATGAAATGAAATGAAATGAAATGAAATGAAATGAAATGAAATGAAATGAAATGAAATGAAATGAAATGAAATGAAATGAAATGAAATGAAATGAAATGAAATGAAATGAAATGAAATGAAATGAAATGAAATGAAATGAAATGAAATGAAATGAAATGAAATGATGTGCTTGTATACCGCCCATATTGTTAGCAACTGACACAAGTGTCAGGTACTAACCATGTCAGAGCGGTTCTAAAGGGCGAAGTGAAAATATCCAGCAACAAACAACTAATCATCTCAAAAACAAATCTATTCAGGAAAATTAAAACTATAAATTCATCATATAGTAATCATAGGAAGATTCTTGATATATATATCACACTACGAATAACAATAAACCACCAGAAAACACTTCAAAAGTAACATAATATACTTATAGGAATCATAGGAAGGTTTATTAATATATTAATACACTTTGCACTAATAAATAAAGATACACCCTCGGCCCTCCAGGCTCCAACAAATCATAAGAACAAAGAAAAAACAGCACTAATCACATACGTTCATATAAATAATTTTAAGGCTACCTTTAAAACTGCCTTCGTTGCGTAGTGATCGTATCTCCCAGGGAAGTGAGTTCCATGCAGTTGGTGCGTAGTTGGTGAATCGACGTTGATCAATCCTACTATTTGTAGTTTTATAATTACAGTAGTCGAGCTACAGTAATTTTAGAAATAGCTTCTTTCAGAAGATTAGGTAGGACTTCACTCAATTGTCTCTTAATTATGTTTTCTAGTGTTTGGCTGTCCTGTTCCGGAAGGGGGACAAGTGAGGTCTTTGATAGATCAATAGCTCTGGAGTCTGGTTGCAATGATGTATAGTTCTTTACAAAGCTTGAAAATATGTTCTTTCTTGTTGCTGGAGGCTATATTTGTTAAATCTTTTGCTTGGTGAATTGTTTTCTTACCTTGAAAGGAATTTTCGTTGATTAGGTCGAGCTCCTCTTCCAGTTTCTTCAAGTCATCCATACTCCATATCTGCTAATGAAATCAAGGTCCTATACCCAAGATAAGCTGTAAGTTTTTAGAAAAACTTAAACAGCTACAGTAACGTAGATCTGGGTGTGTATGGTAACAATAGAAACCTCAAATTATTTGTTATATAGTAGTGTTGAAAGTATTAAAACTTAAAAATATTAATTGAAATTTAGTAATTATGTACCACGAGAGCTGTGTGATAATATAAGAACCTAAGTTGATCCTGGAATCTTCGATCTTTCAATCTGCATCGATCCCCCTTACAGCTGATTTCATTTCAGATATATCAATTGATCAACAATGGATAACTATTTGGAAATAGGCAAACAAATATACGAAGAATATTGCTCAACGGCTGAAAACCTGCCCACAATGCTTCCAAGAGCACCAGAGCAGACCTACATTGATGTATATCCAGATGAAGATCAGCCCGGTCTCAGCTTTACAGATGACGTCAGACGACATCAATTAGGCTACGAGACCGAAGTTAAGGTGTATAGGGCTTTAGAAGAGGTAGATGGAAACTTTATTGTTCTTCACAGCTTCAATTACACGCATCATCAATATCGTTTGTGTGCAGGTAAAAGTCATATCCGAAGAAGATGTTCTAAATGTAAAGGCAAGAATGCAGAAAATCAGGAGGGGGTTTGTGACTTTCTCATCATTTGTGCGGACAGTTTCATTATCATCGAGGTAAAGAACATGGATAATGTTGGAGAGGTTGTGGAATGTGAACCAGACTTCCACCTGTGTTCAATTGGCGAGGACTGGCAACCTCAGTGTAACAGAGACCAGCAGTTGAAAGCATTGAATGGAACGTTCCAGAAATCAGTCAAACAAAGAAACAAGATTGTTGAACTGATCGAGTGTATGGATAAAGATGCAAAAATTCTTCAGTTCACTGCCTATCCTAATTTTAGTAAACAGTTTAAAGATGAGTTTCAATTTAGTGAGATGACAGGACTCCGGTTAAGTGATGATGAACTGTCGACTATCATATTTGAAGAAGATTTATCCACTTTTAATGCTTGGTGGAAAGACAATGTAACTGTGGCCATATCATCCGTCAGAAGATTTCCTGAAGAAACGGTATCGAATACAGAAATGCCAATATCTGGATACAACCAGGATTCTCATGAGAAAGCAAGGAACATTTTACTAGCCATATGGGCCACAGAAATACGCAGGTGTGATAAATCCAAGTGCAGTTTAGCACGATGTATTTTTGATATCAACAAACAACTTAGGGAAGGTCGCATTACTTTCGAGCCTAAAAGAGGTGAACAACGTAATCATAATCCCGGTGTGGTAAAAGCTCCTGATGTCATAAGCCGCTATGTTGGAATTTTAAACCTCACTATAGAACAAAGTGTAGTGTTCGAAAGAGACGAAAACCTGCAATGGATAAATGGACCTGCGGAGGCAGGTAGAACTGTAATATTATGTGGTAAAATGTTACAACTTATACAATCTGACGCGAATAATAAAGTTGTGTTATTAAAATACAATGGAGAGGGCAACAACTCTCAACATTATCAGAGTGCATTGAAAAATTGTAGTGTAGAATACGAGGTGATTAACTATCGCAATTTTGATGATCGAGTAGCAGAGAGCAACTGTCCAGTTATCATAGTCGAGATAACACGTTATCTTCATGTGCAACAATTGATTGAACGACTCAGTGGAGTTAGTGACCGTCATTTGTTTTTGGACGATGTACAGGTGACTTGGTACCGTAGCACAGCTGAAGAGTGTACTGATCTAATAGATTTGTTGTTAGAGTTGTCGTCAAATAAATGTGTATGGATAGGGTGTGACTTTTCACAGGCTTGGGTATTTCTAGGCCCAAAGTATACTATAGATTTCGCTAATGTACTGGTTCGCAAACTATCGACTAGTCAGCGAGCAAATTTATCGAGAAGTCTTACAATTAGCAGTGATTTGTACAATATTCTATATGTGATAAGAGATACATTTATTAGACTGTCTAGGCTATCTTCTGACTCTGAGAGATTTGATGATGTTCTTTTGGAAATTGTATCACCCGACCTCGCACAAGGGCATTTTATTCATGGGCCAATACCCGTCATACATGCTTTCAATAACTATGATATAGGACCGATTGGTCATGCATTTTGTATTGAATTAGATGAAATGTGTAAAAATGATGAAATGAATTATTCTGAAATGGGTATCGTTTACAATGATGACAGGAGAGATATAAGAATGTTAATTAAAGACGTTGTTGATAGACGATGTATTAACTCTGAATATAAGATAGCAATTTGCCACAGTAGGAAGAGTTTTTCTGCTGAGTGGCCAGCAGTAATTGTATTGCACAAAGTGTGCAGGTACATTGAGAAAGACTTGATCACACTTCAATTAGAAATATCCAGAGCCCGTGTTTACTGCTCTGTTCTTTTATACCCAGAGAAGGGTAAAGATTTAGGCGATTATGGACATATTTCAGATATTTTAGATAAACTGAAGGGTCGTGCACGCATTTTAAAATATTGAATTTGCAGTTCGCACTGCTCTTGAAGATGTTTCATAAAATGATAAATATATGGCATGGATTTTTCTGAACGATCTTCTTTTATAGATCACAAAACATATTTTATAAGCTCAAACATCAAAGGAGCGTTCCTTAATAATATTTATCAGTGTTTACTGCTCTGTTCTTTTATACCCAGAGAAGGGTAAAGATTTATACGATTATGGAGTATGGATATATGGCCATGGGGTCGTTCACATATTACGTAATCACTGAGCGGGAGGGGGGCTTCTAAATGATTACGCTAGTGTAATTTTGACACAATAGCTATGTGTAAAACTGATTAAGGAGGGGGAGAGGGGGTCAAAATTGACCAAAAGGTGATTACGTATTATGTGAATGGTCCCATATTTCAAATCTTTAAATAAACTGGATGATCGTGCAAGCATTTTTCCCTGAAGTTTTTATTGAAAAGTAAGTTCAATAAACTTCTTTCCCCTGATCTGAGCATCTTTCCGTGCTTAACTTATCGCTCCTAACCTTCCCAATGATATTGGGCGACTAATCTTATGTAAAGTATGAGTTTTGCCAGTCATGAAAACTAATAATCTTTAACTGATAATTTTGAAATACTAGAAGCTAGTGTATCTTAGTTATTATTTTGACAACCTTGACTTATATGGAATTACTTTTTTACTTTTGTGTTAAATTTGATTGAGAGTTGAGAAATTTGTAAAAATTTTACATGTTTTTGATAACCAGGAACGTTTCTATGAATCTTACAGCCCCGAATGGGGAAAACTACCTAAAATATTTCAATTTCTCTGCCTTTTCTCTGCAAATTGGAATCATCACGATCAAAACTTTTAAAACTTATTTGATTTAATCTTCATTCAGCTAATGGTTATTCGATATGATAGCAGTGGATCCTCTCTAAGCTGAAACATCTAGATAAAAACAGTGGAACAGTTAAGCCATATAATCCATCCACCAATTAATTGCAAACATACGTCATACATAGCAGGTAAACAGTAAATAAGTTGGCAATATCAAATATAACCTTAACAACTTTTATATTAATACAAAATCTTTGATATCGCTTTCCTATCAATTTAATTGATTGATCTTGGATACATTAATAATTAATTTAGCGATTTACATTTTATGACGTGGTTGTTTACGTCGCTTTAACTTATTATAAGTAACAGCTTTTTATTTATTATACTCGCAGCAGAAAGGCATGACATTTTTGACCAAGTTTATACTCCCGTCATTTACTTTATTTGGCTTATATTTTTTACTTTTGCCGTACTTTAAATTACTCAAATTCACACTAAATAACTCACACTGCAAAACATATACCTTATCGGACCTTATTTGGACGGACATTACTTGAACGCTGGAGGCCCTAGCGTTCATCTTAATGTCCGTTCAAATAAAGTCCGTTCAATTAATGTCCGTCCAAGTTAAAGTCCGTTGAATTTTTTTCAAAAATTTTTCCATTTCGAACTTTTTGTCCAGAATATGACAACTTTGAGAACTTTATTGTGCCGTAAGTTAACGACAGAAAGGTTCTCCTTGGTCTGCCGGATGCACAGAAAACTCTACTACTACTACTACAGCTAGTATATGATGTTTTCAAGGGTCACTTGGCGGAAAAAAGTCAACGAAATTATGGCACTCAACAACATAGTTCATGAACTAGACAAACTTGTTCCAGCCTCTAGATATAACGGTAAATCGTGTTGCCAAGGACATTGTCCGACGTTGTTATAGTTCATGTTACTCGGGGGCGGTAATGAAACAGTGCTAGGAAAGCTACACGTGATGTTAAGGTTAACCTAAAGTTGTCTAAGATAAAACCACTTCACGCCGAATGGCTTGTAAAAGTTAACACTGAAATGCAGGACCGGGGTAGTTTGATTAAAAAAAAAGGTTTCCATAAAGCTAGAAATCACTGATGCTTTAAGCATGGACTATTTCATGCACGAAATCCCATTTGATGAAGATGATATGCGATATTAGACACTGATCATGTACACATATTTTAACATTTTTACTGCTTAATGACTGCTTTTCTTACTTACTGTATAAAAAATGGATTTAAAAATCATTTGCTGAAATTTAAAAAACGTCAAAAAATATTGAAAAAAATTCGGATTTTTGATGGTTTTGAATGCCTTCGAGCGTTCATATTAATGTCCGTTCATAATTGTGTCCGTTCATGTAATGTCCGTCCAAATAAGGTCCGATAAGGTACACATTGTACAAATATAGGTAGTATAATTTACGTAAATCATAAATTCTAAATTGGATTTGACGGTAATGACGCTTATAACTAACAAAATGTATTAATATTATATTTCAGTTTCGATTACATCCTAGCCTGAACGATGGATAAATATCGTAAGTTTGGAATGGAAATGTACAGCAAATATTGCATTACAAATGGAAACAAGCCTATTATGTTTCCTCGAGCCCCCGAACAGACTTACATCGATGTCTATGCGAAAGATGGTTTCGATGATAAATCACCTTTCAAAGATGACCCAAAACGTCAATCTGATTACGAAACGGAAGTGGTAGTGTATCGCGCCTTGGAGAGGTTGGATGAAGGGTTTATTGTTTTTCATAGCTATGAGTATACACATCACCATTATAGAGTGTGCGACAGTAGTCACGTACGTAAAGAGTGCCAAAGGTGCGAGAAGTTTAAGAAGAAAGCGTCACCTGAAGGGGAATGTGACTTTATTATTGTGTTAGCGAACTGCATCGTGATCATCGAAGTGAAAAATATGACAAATGTGGTAGAATGTGAGCCCACAAAAAAAGAAAAAGCTTTAAAAGCTTTAAAAGAAACATTCAAAAAGTCAGTCGAAGAACAGAGGCAAAGAATTGTGGAACTGATACAATTAATTGATCCATATATGAAGACTATGCAGTTCACTGCATATCCTAATTTTAGCAGACGGTATTCGGAACAGTTCCAGGTGGAAGATGCTCAACTGGCAACTATAATATTCCAAGAGGACTTTTCTGAAGAGATGGAATTCGGTAATTGGTGGCGTGCCAAAGTAACTGAACAGATAGTTGAAACAACAACGAGCACTGAACCAGAAATTATAAACATTTTGCTGGCTATCTGGGCAGACTGTGATGAATCAAAATTAAGTTTTGGAAAGTGCATAATAGACATAGATGAGCAACTGAGGGAGGGACTGATAACGTTTGTGACTACAAAGGGCAAACACCGAAATAAAAATCGAAATCCTTTGGTAGAAAAATCAGATGACATAATTAAAAAAAATCTTGGAGTACACTACCTTACCAAGGAACAGAAAGATATACTTGATTCAAGTGAAAAACTGATGTGGTTAAACGGGCCCGCTGGGGCTGGAAAAACTGTGATTATGTGCGGAAAGATAATAAAACTAATGCTAGAATCAGATAGGGACTCCAGAATTATGTTATTTAGAAGTATTGCAGGGAACGGAACCGATTTGCAAAAAACGGAGTCGTTTTATCAGTCAGCATTAAGAAAGGCATGTATTCGGTTTGAGGTTATAAATCAACAACAAATCGACAGTCACAGAGCAGTATCGGATAGAAACATTAAAGTCATTATTGTTGACATCAACGATCATCAGCGTGCTGCAAAGTTATTAATAGATCAGTTCAGTGGAGAGTTTCACTTGTTTTTAGATGACGCTCAAAAGGTTTTGTACTATAGCACTAGAGGTGGGGAGTACGGTGTCTTTATAGACAAGTTGAAGAAGATGGCTGAGAACAAAGTCGTATGGATTGCATGTGACATGGTACAAGGCTGGAGGTATTTAGGCCAACGGTATACAAGAGAACTAGCTAAAAACCTAAAAGAAACTCTGTCTGACGAGCAAAGGAAGTGTTTATCAATGAATCTTAGGAACACATGCGACCTGTCCAATATATTATGTGTAATCAGAGATCGTTTCATCCTTAGATATGATCAGCAAGGACAAGACAGATTCCCTGTAGATATGATTTTACCCAAACAAACTCGTGGCCATTATATTCATGGAACTAAGACCGTTATACATGTTCTAAATAATTATGACCTTGATACTATCGGTGAATTATTAAAGACAGAGTTGGACAAATTAAACCAAACTCACAAACCAAACTCACAAACCAAACTCAGAAACCAAAATCAGAAACCAGAAGTTCCCGAAACCAGTTCACAAGCGAAGGAGGTTCAAAAAGTTAATCCTCTAACTAACTTGGGAGTAGTTTACAATTCTTCGAACAGCGATGTTGAATCATTAGTTAAAGACATTGTAAGCAACCATAAAGATAAACAGAAGTTAGCACTGTGTGACAGTGTGTTTAGCTACTCCGTCGAGTGGCCGGCAGTGATTGTGCTTCATCAGATGTGGGGAGATCTTGACAATGACCTTCCAGCACTTTACCTAGCCATGTCAAGAGCACGAGTTCACTGCTTTTTGATGTTGTACCCGGACGAAGGTGAAACTACAAAGGACCATAATGAAGAAATGCTCGAGTTGGTAGAAGAACTGAAAGATCATGCACATGTCCGTTACATCTTTGATGAAGATGACTCATGACTGAATCTATCTATCCATTTAATAAACCTTGAATTTTCTTGACGTTCATGATCTTGACGTTATGGAATACTTTGCTCCTATATGCTACATATCGTTTATGATCAGTCCCATTGCTCGGTCACAATCCAGTTGACTGAGCAGAAGTTTGTATTTATGTTGCAACATTATTAGTAAATATTGTTTTCAGTTGAAGGGAAGCCCCTGAGATTGTTTACTAATACGAAGTTATATATTGCCCATTAAGAAGTCTGCAAAACAACAAAGGTGTTATTTTAGAGCGTTATTTTAGGGTGTTATTTTGGTTAGCTCAGGGGCTTACTTTGCTTGACAAGACTTTCGTGCATGTTATGTTATCATCGTATTATATGGAATATAATTGATTCGATTTATCAAAATTTGAATAACGCAGGTTTTTTACATTTGTTAAAAATCATAGGCAGCTTAAAACAGACATAAACATATTTAATATAAATGTCGGATAAAATCTCAAAAATTACCATTCCGTTTAGCACAGAATAAAGTTTTACTTCCCATTGCTGTACTGCTGTGCTTCAATTCAAAATAATCATAACCATTACGTGCAACGTAAATGGATAAGGCTGACAACCGCCAAGCAGGTGTTTTAATATCTCACACTGTAAAAATAAATTCTATCAAAGAACATTTAAAATTCAGTGTCTCTGAAGGTTATTTTAAAGACAACTCAATCTGATTTCTTAATTTTGTACGTCTCTAATCAAGTTTATTAAGTTTTGCTATATCGTAAATGTCGTCGCAGAAAGCTAGGTAGTTAAACACGTTCATGCCTCCAACGTTGACTTTGTATTGTTTTTCTAAGGCGTGAAATTCTACCTCGTCGGCAATCAGAGATAGTATTGATAGTACTCTTCGAAACTGAAAAATAGAGACGTTAAATAGATACTGTTAACAGTGAAAAAAAGTGTTACAACTTACAATAAGAGAAAAGGACCAGTTGCAGTTAGGACTAAAAACATTAAACAGGAGGGAAAACCGAGCGTGCTCATAGCTTAAAATATTTTTACACTGGAACTTCAAAATTTGTCTAAAAGGCCCCCGTACAGTTACCTGTTACAAGTTAGAACCAACAACAATTATCGATGTATTTTTGAAAGCTGAATCCGAATCACATCACAAATGACATGGACATTGGACATAGGGTTAAAATGCTTCTTTGACGTGTTATCGGCGAAAAACTGACTACAGATTAGATCACGTAACAACATGAGTCATGACTATGTAAGAAAATATAAGGCACATTTTTCGTTAGGGATTTAGCAGATGCTGGAGTCGGATGCTGGGATCTGGTAAGGGTTGAAGTCAGAGGACAGGAGCTGAGTATAAGGTAAGGGTTTCGAATTGTCTGTCAGCGCTATCTAGAGAACGTGTCAGGCTAGGTCATGTGTTGTCCAAAGAGGAATTAAATGTGGAAAAATCAATAAACCGTACTCTTCATATTCATATTGTTATCGACACTACAATGCGCGCCACGCCATGTAATTAAGCTAGCGTTTACGTACATATACAAATCAAAGGATTTTGCCCCTTTCTCTACTCAAAATGCACCGCGCGCGCCTGTAAATGCAATTAATAGACAACTTTGTGACGGTGCCATTCCACAGTCTTTTCACATTGTTTCAGAACGTGAGAGTTCCGTTTTTTGTAGATTTGATTGAACTAATTATTAAGTATCAAACTTTGATGATCATGATAAATTCATAACTCTCTCTTTCTCTCTCTCTGGTTAAGGTAACCAACAATTACATCATACACTGACATTTGTCACAAACTCACAACAACACAACGAAAAAGGATAAAAATATTCGAATAACTGAATACAAATCATAAACCTGATTCAGCTATTTTACATACCTGGGAGTAGGTAACAGTACCATTCCTACACTTATCATAGTCTTCAAACATCGGGTAGAGCTGCATTCGGCGCGTTTTCACCTGTAATAGTTGCACTTAAACGAGGACCTGTTTCTATAATAGGTTAACATGATTTGACTCGATTTTAAAAGTTATTCTCCAGGGAAATCTGCCGTTTTTGTCTTTATTAAGGGCTGAGGAGAACTGGAAAATTGCAACCAACAATAATTGTTACACTCAATTCTCAAATTTCATCGCTAAACAGCCTGTTTAAATGATCCAATGGGCTTGATAATTTTGTATTGAGCAAGTATCGGTCAAAAATGATAAGCACGAACAAATTCGAGATAATATATTCAATAAAAAATTAAAATATAATACGTACAAATCGGGCAAGGTGTTCCATGGCAGAATTGTAGACTTCCTGGATTGGTTTAGATAAGTTATTCTTTAGCCAGGCCGGCATTATCTTGTACTGTACCACCTATAAAGGAAAGAATTCATGTTATTGTAATGTAAATATTCGGAATTGTAAGCGGATCGGAAATAAAAATGTAAACTTATATAATATATATACAATCGATGAATGGCCGCCCAAAGTCTCAATTGCATTACTTCCACCTAAGACTAAAATTGTGTTCAAATGTGGAAATTAAAAAACAATAAATAAATATAAAATAGTAATTAAATTTACCGGTGCGGTAGGTGATTTCTCCAGCTCCTTCACCGTGAAAATACTCTCTATCTCATCGTTAAAGTGGTGGTAATAAACACAGTCCTCCTTGCAGTCAGATTGATATCTGGTGATAATTTAGGTGATAATTTAGGTGATAATTTAGGTGATAATTTAAGTGATAATTTAGGTGAAAATCTAGGTGATTATCAGACAGCTCTAATCTCTATTGATCAATAACTACTGAGTGCTGACTCAAAATATTAGCAATCTATAACCTCAAACCACCAAAATTACGGACCTCATTGCTAAAAGATCAATCTCATCCACAGTCAGATCCAGACCACTCAAATCTAGAGCTCTCTTGAAATTACTCTTTAATATCCGTCCTGACTTGAGCTTGTCATAATCTTTGAAAAATTCAAGAATTCTGATCCGTCGCTTCATAACCGTCTCCTTTATCTTCTCGATCACCGCCTCCACCGTTTTACATCCGTCCTTTTTAAGGAGCCGTTCAGTGCCGGTTTCCCGGAATTTTATGTACTGGACCATCTCGGATAAATTCCGTTCATATTTCCGGGGTTCTGGTTTAACGGGATCCAGGTCGTTGAAGAATATGTGGTAGTTAATGCCTTTGGAGTCGCCATACATCGCGTTGATTGCCTGAAAAGTGAAAGAATGTTTTTGGAATTTTCTTCAGAATTTTTCGGATATTGTGTAAACTGCGTGGTTGCGACTATAACACGACATCGACAAGCTGGGCCTGGCCACTAAAAGCTAAAAATAGCAATAGAATTACACTAACATTTAGCTTTTAACAGCGGTGGTATAAGTATAAACTACCAAATGCATATGGTCTAGCTAAAAAAGGATTTTAAATTTAGCAGTATATCAATTCAAATTCCTTCAGTCCAAAAATCCGCATTCCAATACAAACCTTTCTTTCAGCCTCCGTGCTCTCTAATCTCAGATAACTAAGTCCCTGTTCAAACTGGTTCCGGCTCACATACCCACAGTTGTGTCGGTCAAAGTCGTGAAAACACGGTTTAGTCATGATTCTTCGCTGTGCTATTTGCTCTCGCATTCTTTGGATTGCGTTTTTACCTCGGGTTCTGACCTAGGAACACGGTATTTGGTGTTTAAAATGTAAATGTTTGTGAGGGGAGAAAAATCAATATGTTAATTGATAGGCGCTCGTTTGTTTCTGAAATGTGTAAGGTGTACCAATATGGACAAATTCTGATCGACTATGGTCATGTTTAACATGTAAAATTAGTAACCTATTGAGAAAAAAGATAATAACAAATGTTTTGATCTCACCTCATCGCTTATCTCACTCTCGGTATTCCAAGAATTTAGTGTTATGTGGTCGTTTGATCGGACCCTAAAGTCGGGCTTCTTTTCTAGATTCCGTTCAGTTATTACTGAAATTAATAAATTAGGAGATTTTAGAATGGCACAGTTTCATAACTTATCGAGGATTAAAGATCGCTATCTTTAATCCTTGGGCTTGATAATAAGATAATATGTTATAAAAATGTAGAATGTAACCTATTAAATTTCAGAATAGCGACATTAAACTTGAATTTACTTGACCGCTATTCTATTTCGGAGAAATTGAAAATACAATTGATAGTATCAATTAATATTCGGTCAATCGGAAATTCACCAATCATGGCCAAAGCATCGGGGACAACAAAACAATGTTCAACCAACCTTTTTCCATATCTCTCTCAAAATCACTCCACCTTACGTCTCCGGTAGTTTTAGGATCGGTATAATAGATGGAGAGAGCTTCTAGTTCAGATCGAGTGAGGTTGTAGTGGTTACCCTGCATACTTGCCAAACCCTGGTGGAGGAGACATGATTGTTAACTTTGGAAATTCTTGGAATTCCTCCCAGTGCGTGACATAATATAACCAGAGATTCTTTTGATGTTTAATAGGTTAATCATTGAATTTAAAAAAAGATCCACTTACCCTTTTAAATAAACTTTTAGAGATAGACCCAGACTTGAGGCCATCAAAATCCTTGAAATGTTCACACACCCTCACACGGTACACCTTAACCTCACACTGCAGCCTGTGTATCAGTTTCTGAATGTCGATCAGGTGAGGGCTAAGCTTTGGGGAGAGAGGTGAGAGAGACTGGGCTCGAAGATGGCTGGATTTATCCTCGTTCACGTGACTGTCTGGTGATTAGTGTAGTTTAATAATTTATAAAATATCACTATTGTAGTGTTTTCAATAAACTGAAATGGTATATAAGAGGATTAAATAATCAGTATCCACTATTGACCAATGAAACCCCCAGAATCAATACCACGTGTGAAAATCTCGCTAGAATCCACATTCCACATCTGTAAGAATATGGATTACCTTCTTGATAGTCTTTGTCGATAGCTTGCACAAAGGCAGGATAGTTAACATCCGTGCCGTTAGATTCTTCAAACTTCTTACATATCAACTGGTAATATGATGAATTATTAGTTATTTCTTAAAGTTTGGATGCTCAATAAAATCTATCAAAAAGATGCACATTTTTGTTGAAAAGATACAAAAATGAATGTATTATACAAAGAAATAAACGGAATGTGCCACCAATGTACGTGTAATCAGTGATGTATTACACTTATTGAAAATAATTCATTAAAAGCACATCGAATCTTTGTAAACTTTAACAAATAAGGTACAACAAATTCTTTGAAACGAACAAAGGAACGTGATCCATACCTCACAATCTCTGTCAGACAGATCAACATCAAAAAAGTTGAGAAGTCTCCTGAACTGAGCTTTTGTTACACCCCGACTGAACAACTTTCCCTGCAAACAAAACGGGGGTTTAAAACACGAAAATCTGATTCAATGTTAGATTGGAGGGATTTTGATCAAATGGTAAAATAACTACTTGTTTCAAGTGAAACTAACGTATTAAGAACACTAATTTCCAGTAATAAACAAATAAAATAAAAAGTTTAATAAGAGAATATAAACACAGGAATTTCGAAAAGCTAGTTTACCCTGTCAAAGTCTTTAAAGAAAGGATACAACATGGTAATCCTCCTCCTGGTCACATAATCCCGGAGAATATCCAGCACTTTCTCCACCTGCTCCTCATCGTCCGGGTCCAACTTGTGGACGGTGGGCGCCAGCGCGCCCGTGTGCGGCCTGTAGACAGTTGCTGTTGGGTTCTTCTCCAGGTGGGGTACGTTGAATGCTGTGAGTGGGGTGATTGTGAAAGGGAGGGTGAGCAAGAGAGAGAGATAGAGAGAGAGAGAGAGAGAGAGAGAGAGAGAGAGAGAGAGAGAGAGAGAGAGAGAGAGAGAGAGAGAGAGAGAGAGAGAGAGAGAGAGAGAGAGAGAGAGAGAGAGAGAGAGAGAGAGAGAGAGAGAGTGAGAGGAAGGGAGAATGAGAGAGAATGAGAGAGAATGAGGGAAAATGAGAGAGAATGAGAGAAAATGAGAGAGAATGAGAGAGAATGAGAGAGAATGAGAGAGAATGAGAGAGAATGAGAGAGAATGAGAGAGAATGAGGGAAAATGAGAGAGAATGAGAGAGAATGAGAGAGAATGAGAGAGAATGAGAGAGAATGAGAGAGAATGAGAGAGAATGAGAGAGAATTAGAGAGAATGAGGGAAAATGAGGGAAAATGAGAGAGGAAGAAGATGAGGGTGAGCGTTGAAATACTTAACTATGAAGTCATGAGATTGAAGTAAGAAACATTGATTCAAAAGTTATCATGATAAACAAAAGTTATCATACCGTTTTCCATGAGGAAGCAAAAGTCCCGGTAACAGACCCTGCCATCTTTAGCAATGTAGTATTCTGCTATCTTATCTCCTTCTTCTCTCGTTAAAGGGCACCTGTCAAATGACACGTCATAATAAATAGATCTCATTGAATCTGACACGTGACAGACATTAACCAATCAGCTTCCAGTGTTGACCAATCAAAACCCAGAATCACGCCTCAAAACAAATATAAACAAATATAGTTCGCCTTCCCATCAGTTAAGTATACAATCGATACTCTTTCCGTTCCCCTGGCTAGCATTTCAAACTATTTGAAGCACAATTTTGTTTCGAATAAACTATTTTCGTAACTCAAGAACCATGGCTATAATTGACCGTAGAAACATGTCCATCCTAGCAGTGTCCCAACGTAAAACTGGCCGCCTGGAGCATGCGTGGAGACCACAGCTTGGAGACCACAGCGTGGAGACCACAGCGTGGAGACCACAGCGTGGAGACCACAGCGTGGAGACCACAGCGTGGAGACCACAGCGTGGAGACCACAGCGTGGAGACCACAGCGTGGAGACCACAGCGTGGAGACCACAGCGTGGAGACCACAGCGTGGAGACCACAGCGTGGAGACCACAGCGTGGAGACCACAGCGTGGAGACCACAGCGTGGAGACCACAGCTTGGAGACCACAGCGTGGAGACCACAGCGTGGAGACCACAGCTTGGAGACCACAGCGTGGAGACCACAGCTTGGAGACCACAGCGTGGAGACCATAGCTTGGAGATCACAGCGTGGAGACCACAGCGTGGAGACCACAGCGTGGAGACCACAGCGTGGAGACCACAGCGTGGAGACCACAGCTTGGAGACCACAGCGTGGAGACCACAGCTTGGAGACCACAGCGTGGAGACCACAGCTTGGAGATCACAGCGTGGAGACCACAGCTTGGAGATCACAGCGTGGAGACCACAGCGTGGACCAACTAACAGTACTTAGTGTCACGCCTTAGTACAATCCTAGTTAAAACATTCAAAATGGATAGTTCACTGACCTGTTGCCACAAATCAAGTTCAATCCAATAATGAACTGGTTCTTAGTAATGAACCCACTCCTCAACTTATCATGGTCAATGAAGAACTCAGTCGTTCTGATACCATCCTTGTAAACATGAAGTTGAACCTGAAGTGACAACATTTCAAAATTCGCTGAAATAAAAATCACTGAAATAAAAAATCACTGAAAAACTGGAGACACAAGTTTTTTTTAATTCTCTTATTTTCCTATTGAGGAGAGAACACTCAACGCAATGTGGATGTAAGAGAAGTATGAAAGGTATGAAGGGTATTTCACCTTGTCAAGGACTTTGAGTACAGGTTTTTGTCTGGCTGGAGTGACGGGAGGCGGTGACGCAACAGGACGTAACTCCCTCAAACCACAGTTATCACCTGGGATTAAATTATTTTACAGAATATGGGGGGAGTGCTATTCAATGTGCTAGCTCCTTGAGAATAGTGACATATTTACAGGATTAAGTGATTTTCAACAAATAATAAAAGTGGGGAACTAGATATTATCATTATAAACCAGTATACATTATAAACATTATAAACCACATACCAGATGGTGGAATCCTGTCCAAGTCTCCTTGGAATTTAGAATAGCTGATAAGGTTGGTGTTTCTATGTCGGTATGTCTGTATTATCTCTGATATCTCGGTATGAGTCAAGACGTCCGGTATTGACGGGAAGCATCTCCAGAACTGCAATAAGGTTCACATATTAACACATATTCTCATATTAAGTAATCAATATTTTAGCAATTTTTACCCCCTCCCCCCTCCGTAAAATTGCTTCATAGTTAGGGCAAGAATTGCTGTTTATGGGTCAATCTGTGAACAAATTCGTAACAAAGGTTTGTCTACAGGAATGTGTTGTCCATAGTCCCAGGAACCACCAAAAAAAACCGTCCAGCTGAAACTTTTGGGCAAAAATTTTTATAGTCATTTTTCTCCAGGAACCCATACGCCCCACCCCTAATATTGGTTATTCGGCTCCCGAAGGTCTTGAGATCTCCATAGGGGGTGCAAAATGACCGCAATGGCCACATTATGGCAGGCGAAAAATAGTTTCAGAACGATTGGAGCTTTATTTTTCGAAATAAATGGAATTTTTCGAATTTTTTTCTCAATTTTATTGAAATTTCGGAAAAAAAAACACCAAATTATTTTTAACGCTTATTTCAAATCTATTTAAAAACTTATCTACAAATAACAAATACAGTTAATCTAAAATGTGTATTCTCAGTAAGTACCATGACAATTATTAATACACAGTTAATATTAATCAAAATTCGCTTGTTCTTCAGGTTCATCATGTCTAATGTTTGTGCAGTTCATACCATGGCATCGTCCACAAGCTGGCAAACAATTGAAGCCATATTTCCTACATGAACATCTGAAAGTCAAACAGGCCTGTTCCACATCGACAGAACAGTTACAACATATAAGGTTCATATGAGGAGGATAACTGAGGAGGAGGAGAAGGACTGAGGAGGAGAAGAGGGATCCAGGAGGAGAACCCAGGAAGAGGAGGAGGAGGACTGAGGAGAAGGACTAAAGAGAAGGAGGACTGATGAGAAGGATGAGGAAGAGGGTGACTGGGAGAAGGACTGAGAAGGACTGAGGAGGAGAATGCGGACTGAGGAGGAGGAACCAGGAAAAGGAGGAGGAGGAGGACTGAAGAGGAGGACTGAGAAGGCGAAGGAGGACTGAGGAGGAGGGTGACTGGGGGAGGACTGAGGAATATGAGGAAGACTGAGGAGGAGGAGGAAGAGGAGAAGGACTGAGGAGGAGAAGGACTGAGGAGGAGAAGGACTGAGGAGGAGAAGCAGGAGGAGGAGGACCCAGGAGGATGAGGACCCAGGAGGAGGACCCAGGAAAAGGCCCCAGGAGGAGGAGAAGGAGGACTGGGGAGAAGGAGGACTGTTGAGGACGAGGAGGAGTAAAAGAAGGACTGAGGAGGGGAGGAGGAAGAGGACTGAGGAGGATCAGGAAGACCCAGGAGGAGGAGGACCCAGGAGGAGGACCCAGGAGGAGGAGGAGGACTGAGGAGGATGACTGAGGAGGAGGAGGACTGAAGAGGAGGAGGAGGACTGATAAGGAGGAGGACTGAGGAGGAGGAGGACTGAGGAGGAGGAGGAGGACTGAGAAGGAGGAGGACTGAGGAGGAGGAGGACTGAGGAGGAGGAGGAGGAGGCTGCACGACGGCCAGGCCCCCTCACGGAGATCAGATCATGTCACCAATTAGTGACGTATAATTAGTGATGTGATCCGTCAGTAGAATTTAACTGACCTAGATTTTCTGGAAACTACGTTTGTTCATATTTCATGCTACCATGATCATTATGAGCTTCTGAAGTCCGTATATACATTCGGAAGGCTGTGGATGTGATTGGTTCCATATACTAACCTTATCGGACCTTATTTGGACGGTCATTACTTAAACGGACATAATTATGAACGGACATTAATATGAACGCTAGAAGGCAATCAAAACCATCAAAAATCCGAATTTTTTTCATCTTTTTTAAAACTTTTTTAATTTTAGCAAATAATTTTTTCCCTGCTCTTGCCGAAGGCAAAAAGATCGTAGGGAATAAGTAATCGGGTTTGGATATATGAGCTATCCCGATGGACCTGCGATGATGACAAAAGTCTGCTCCTTCGCAATATAGACCACTCCCCTATAATTAAGTGTATAGGGAGCGTCTGTTATGCTGCGCGCGACGCTCGGCATGTGTTAGTTAATTGCAGTATCCAACGCGAATTTCAACTGTCAAACGATGCCGTTCAAATTAAATTAGCCCAAAATTTGTGCGCGGCGTACTATATATTCGAGTACATGCAATCCTGCACGCGCGCAATGACAAATTACGATGAAAATATTGCAACTTTTTAACAACAAAATAATCCAATATCTAATTTTTATTAATCGATAAAATTAACTTTTCGTTGCAAACATTAACGGTTTAAGCAGGGAAAATTAATCGTGCGTGGTGTAACCGCGGCGAAATTCTTGTTAAACCCATTTTTCATACAGTAAGCAAGAAACATGTTAAAATATGAAAATCGCGATTTGTCGCTGCAAACGTCAAAAATCGCGATTTGTCGCGGAGATTGGGAAAAATCGCGACTCCGCACGTGCCGCGATTTCCTTTTGTCCTTGAATTATATACCTAAGAACACTTGATCGGCTCACTCCCGTTGCATGCCGTGCCTTTGGCACGTACGTCTCACATCCCTAGATACGAGAACCCCCCTTTATTAAGAGCTCCCGTCCCTTATGTAATCTAAAAGATCATGTTTACTTCTTAATGCACATCCATGATGTACAGAGTTGATATGTGAATTTTACACTGTATCTAGCCCATTTCTAGGTCAGTTAAATTCTACTGATGGATTATATCACTAATTATACGTTACTAATTGGTGATATGATCTGATCTCCGTGGGACCCCTAATAATGAGGGGGCCTGGTCGTCGGCCTCCCGAGGAGGAGGAGGAGGAGGAGGAGGAGGAGGAGGAGGAGGAGGAGTGAATAGGAGGAGGAGGGGGACTGGGCAGGACTGAGGAGGAGGAGGACTGAGGAAAAGGATGAGGAGGAGGACTGAGAAGGAGGACTGAGCTGAGGAGGAGGACTGAGGACTAAGGAGGAAGAGGAGGAGGATGAAGAGGAGGTGGACCTAAGAGGAGGAGGTCCCAGGAGGAGGACCCAGGAGGAGGACTGAGGAGGAGGAGGAGGATGACTGAGGAGGAGGAGGAGGAGGAGGAGGAGGAGGACTGAGGAGTACTGAGGAGGATCGCTGAGGAGGATCGCTGAGGAGGATGGCTGAGGAGGATGGCTGAGGAGGATGACTGAGGAGGATGACTGAGAGGGAGGAGGAGGAGGACTGAGGAGGAGGAGGAGAAAGAGGACCCAGGAGGAGGACTGAGGAGGATGGCTGAGGAGGATGACTGAGAGGGAGGGGGAGGAGGAGGAGGAGGACTCAGGAGGAGGACTCAGGAGGACTGAGAAGGAGGAGGACTGAGGAGAACTGAGGAGGATGAGGAGGAGGACTGAATAGAAGGAGGAGGAGGGGGACTGCGGGGAGGACTGAGGAGGAGGACTAAAGAGGACTGAGGAGAAGGATGAGGAGGAGGACTGAGGAGGAGGACTGAGGAGGAACAGGAGGAGGATGAAGAGGAGGAGGATGAAGAGGAGGAGGAGGACTCAGGAGGAGGACCCAGGAGGAGGACTCAGGAGGAGGACTCAGGAGGAGGAGGATGACTGAGGAGGATGACTGAGGAGGAGGAGGAGGAGGAGGAGGAGGAGGAGGAGGAAGAGGAGGAAGCATCTAAATGTTATTTCAATTTTTGTCCGTTTTTGTCCGTTTTTGTCCGCTTTATTTTTTGTCCGTTTTGAAAATATGGCTGCCAAACGGACAAAAACGGACAAAAAACATGATCCCCCCCCCCCCCCCCCCCCCCCCCCCCCCCCCCCCCCCCTTTAGAAGCAGAGTTATTTTCTCTGATAGATCCTGAATAGATTTAGTCTTAAAGTTAACACCTATATTTTCGTTCACACATTTGTTGATGTAACCTTCCAAGTCTACTAGTTCCTCGTCGTAAACTTCTTCCTCTATAATGAAACAACAAAGAGCGGCGTCGATCAGAAAGTGGGCTCTCAACGCTTTATAGTAAGATCCTCCATCCGATATATGCGTGACGTCTCCAGGATACACGAGTTTGATGAGCTCCTCTAAACCCGAGTCTGCCATTATATAGCCTATGCAGCCAAGAAAACTCGTGAGAGTGTGGAAGCCCCCAAGTGCCCCAACCCTGACCACAATAGGCATCCCAGTTTCCAGTACTATTCGGGTGGCCTTAATCCACAATGGCAAATCGAATGTGATTATCATCGGCTCACTGTAGGATAACTTAAGACATTCAACCAGAGTAGCATGTACCGTCGAATAGCTGTCTGGGGGTTGGTCAATAATCTGTTGTTTGTTAGTTAACCTTGATATTTGTTAATTGAAGTTATTTCCCGAGTAAGATTTGAAATAAGCGTTAAAAATAATTTGGTGTATTTTTTTCGAAATTTCAATAAAATTGAGGAAAATTGAGAAAAATTCCATTTATTTCGAAAAATAAAGCCCCAATCGTTCTGAAACTATCATTCGCCTGCCATAATGTGGCCATTGCGGTCATTTTGCCCCCCCCCCCCCCCCTATGGAGATCTCAAGACCTTCGGTAGCCGAATAACCAATATTAGGGGTGGGGCGTATGGGTTCCTGGAGAAAAATGACCATAAAAATTTTTGCCCAAAAGTTTCAGCTGGACGGTTTTTTTTTGTGGTTCCTGGGACTATGGACAACACATTCCAGTAGACAAACCTTTGTTAAGAATTTGTTCACAGAAAAATCAATTCTTGCCCTAACTATCAACCGTAATCAAGACCACCCCCACCCCCTCCTGACTACAAAATTACGTAATCATGGCCTGGCCCCCCCCCCCCCCCTCTTTTTGACTTTTTTCCCCCTGGAAAACACTTTTATCTACGTGTCATGCTACCCTGATCATTATGAGTCGAAATCATTGTTTAAATGATATCCGGCCAAGCACCTTCCAAACTACTTACTTTAGCAGCCGGATAGCCGATCCATTTCTAAATTTGATCACCATCAGAGTGAAAATGAGTGGAATTTGAGTTAAAATATTGTCAAATTGTTATTATTCTAGAGGGTAAAAAAGAAGATTAAAAAGCCAACGGAGCCCTTGGCCTTGGAATCAGAAGAACAGTAAAAACAGTAAACACACATGCCTCAACTCGGCAATTTTCATACGACAGCTTCCAAGCCAATTCACCTAGTGCCAAATGGAGTAGATTTGAAGGCAGGATACGCCACATACATTCCTGACTGTAATCTCGAGACTGGAAATAGGTCTATAATGTTGTGCAAAAAATTGAACATAATCAAGACTTTCCCACTGCAGTCATTTTGAGTGATCCATGTGTTGACGGTTGGAGTATACACGCGATGATTCGACTGATTCTTTTGAATTTCTCTACCAAGCCGGGTACCTACTAATTTAGAGGTTCCTCAGCCTTTGTCGCCTGCATAACTCCCAGTTTTATTTCATTAATCCTCTCTTCGAGATAGATAATTTTGATAGAAAAGAAACAAATTGATTGGAACCATATGTCACGGGAAAAACTAAACTGTGTAATGTATACAATTAACAATTAAAACCGAGACACCCATCTAGTACGCCGTACGCGTACGAATTGTCGATATATATCTATATATTAGTCAAAAATCACATATCTACTCATCTCGTGTTATAATAGGATCTAAAATGTTTAATTCTTAACGTACATGACCTCAAAGCGTACGTCTTTGCTTCTGGGTCCACTGAATCCACCAACAACAGACATGTAAGGATAAAAACTATGTCCGGCCGTCTGGACAGCAGAATACAGGTTGGTGAACTCCTCAACCCATACCTTCTCCGGGATATTCATTGACTTGCCTCCGATAGCCCTGTAGTAGACAACAGCCTCATCCCAGTCCTCAATGTAGACATCTGCGTTAGTAGGAGATGGGGGGTTGGCTTGGAATGCGGATGGAATGTAGAAGTGCATGGAACTACCGGTTTCGTTATAGCTGGCATCAAAGTAGACCTTGGTGATTACCGGGGCTGTCATGGCGATTTTAGCACCATCAGAATTTGCTCCGGAGATGTACTTGAAGAGCCTCATGAAAGATTCACTCTTTTTCACTCCGTTACTATCGTCAACCAGAGTTGATACCCACTTTCCTGCCAGAACTTTCCTTATTCCAAAACCACAGTCGGTGTTATTCATTTCCACTCTTGCTGCGCACTCCAAGTCTACGTCACAGATATCGTCAATAGCTCTGGGAAGAGGCTTACCAGGTTCCACAAATTCTTGACATTCCTCATAGCCAGCAGCGTCGGACCAAGCATCACCAACATTTACCTTGACCGGACTGGCCAGACACGTGACCAGGAGACACGTGGCTATCAGGAAAACTTGCTTCATCTTGCTAGTGGGGATTGTGGTTAATTGAGTGCTAATTGTGGTTAATTGAGTGCTAATTTTGGTTAATTGTGTGCTAATTGTTATTGCTATTTTAATTTTGAAACTTTACTGGGTTGACTGTTCAAGGATCAGTTGCAATCGTAGTCAGCAGTGGATGTAGACTGTTGATAGAGGAAATGACCGCATCAGGGTCTACAAAATAAACGCACGATCTCTCACAACGAGAAACTGAGAATATATCATGATCGATATCTAAAACGAGGGTGACGGTATCTAATATTGGAGTTAAAACACTGCACTACTATAAAAACTCTAAAGTAAAAAAGTTGTATATAAAGGCCTTTTTGAAGCGGTATGTGACGGCTGGACCGGCAAAATTATCGTTACTACAAAAGGAAACTTCAACGAGCAGATGTTGGCATAGTTAATACGGTTTATTCGGTTGTTTGACGGTAAAAGGTGTCGTTTTAGAGTTTCGTCGCGTGCGTAGAAGCTTACTGTGAAGAAAAAACTTAACGACACGTGAATTTATAAAATGATTTTGTAAACATCTGGCCATAAAGTCAAGAAATGTTCAACAGATGGGAGGCTCTTCTGAACACTTCAACAAAGCCCACCGAAGGCTTTGTGCTCTTTCTCCCTTTGTCTAACGAATCTTTTTTGGGAACATGTGAACAACAGCGGTGTTGATTCGGTTTGACTCTGATGGTTGGTTGTTTACTCTTCATGAAACATTAATATTGATAAAGAGACCTTATTTAAGGGACTATAAATCTCTTGTGAACGTGTTCGAAGAGCAGTGCAACAAAAATCAGTTATCCTCTAGTAGTTAGGGGGGGGGGGGGGGCAACGCCCCAAAAGGCCCGATTTCTAGGGCCCTTTTTGGATTTTCGATATGTGTAGGGCCTTTTGGGGCCCTAGAATTAACTTCAATTTCATCAAGTTAAATGATATATGCTAAGTGCGTTAATGATATTATCTGACTATAACTACTTGCACAGTACTTTTATATTTATTTGAGTGTATTTACATGGAGATTATGGTCCATAAACATTGAACCAAATTCATGCCAAAAATACAGGGTCAAAAGGCCCCAAAAGGCCTTAAAAAGCCCAGATTTCTAGGGCCCTTTTCGGATTTTCTATATGTGTGGGGCTTTTTGGGGCGTTGCCCCCTCTGACAATCAGATTAAATGTGGTCAAACGCTATTTATAGAGGATGATACTCGAACAAAATGTCATAAATCATGAATGTTCGATCATCAAATTCAAATAGACCCGTCGCCAGCACAGATCGCTCTCTCATGAATGTTACGCAGTTAATGTGGCACGATTAGATGCCAGAAGCAAAATATAAGCGCGGTGGGTGCAGAATTGCACTATTGACCTATCATCGCACTTACGGCAATCGTGTAAAGCAATGTCATACACTACGCTGTTGAATAATCTAACCTGAGAAAACTTAAAGGCTGCAAATTTGGAGAATTGTTTTGGTCAGGTGCAGAATCGCACAATTTACAAAATATTACCGCACGTTCACGTTACCTCTGTTGAGTCTGTTTGGTGCCTCCCTGGCTCAATCATTTGTTATATTATATTACCAAAACTTAAGCCCATATTATATTCCTCGCCACCCGGCCACTATAATCCAAATGTATAAACGAAACCATCTTAAAACTAAAACTAAAGAAAGGGCTAACTTTCTTCCTTGCTGAAACAATTAAAATTCCTATAATTCCTATAATAATTTTACACTAAAAGCTTACCTGACTCTCGGTGACCAGCCCAGAGTTAGTTTTATCGAAATCTTCGAAGCAGTCAGACAGGATAATGCCCCGGAAATCGTAGTGACTTTGAAGTTTTTCCAGGATTTGGCTGACATTTTCTGTTAAAGTGGGTGACTTTCGTGAGAAACACCGCTCTGAAAATGTTAGTTGTAATCAGCGAAGAATAAGTTTTAAAATTTTGTGTTCCTAAAAACAGGCATGAGGACTGAGGTGCGGCAACGTCCAAAATTACAATCAACAAAGCATATGATTATGAGAACCAATTCACAATAAATTAAATTATATTTAAAATTTGGGGAAAACTCTCACCATTTTCGTGCAGACCGTTGAGAAATTCCCGGTAGTTAATCATTCCTATGTTAACATTACTTCCGTAAATGTCTTTTGTTTGGTTAAAATCAATTTCGGACACTGTCACTCCAAAACTCTGGTTTATACATCTCTTGAATTGGGACTCTGAAAAAGGAGGGGATAATTTAGTTTTAGATTAAGAACAACGGCAAGACTTTAGATCATAGAAAATGCATTTATGTGTATTGCTATTTTTCAGTAAAAATGACCTCAGAATCTTAAATAACCTGAGAGTGAACTATCAGTATCATGCGGAAATATTTCATTTCCGAAATAATTAAAGAAAACTGAGAAATTAACACCAACCAGTAATTTCACCAGTTCTAAGTCGGTCGAAATCTTTGAAAAACTCGTTAAATCGGACACGTTTGTTTTGAGCTGCGTGGTGTATCTTCTTTTGTAGACTGGTCCTCTGGTGTGCTAGCGCTGCCTGGGGTATCAGAGGTGAGAAATAGTGGAATATTGAAATAGTGAAATAGTGAAATAGTGAAATGAACAGTGATAATAATAATACAATTATTGATATGTAATGTGTAGAAGTTCATACTAAATGTGATAATTTAGCGACTTAAGTTAAAACTAATTAATTAAGGACTCTTGTTTGAACCTAACAGAAAATAAGACGAACACAGAAAAACAATTTTTGGACTTACCATTTTAGTTCCAGTGCTGACGCGTTACTGTGACAACCTCGCCTTAGCTAAACAGGAAGTTATTATGTTAGCGAAGCTGTGATTTTCATTTTGGGTTGCAGTTGGTAGGCAGACTTATTGTTGTGACTCTACTAACTACAGCAGTCTATAATTTTACCCAATTTTATGTAAAATGTGAACATTCTTTGCGATTGATTTTTTTTAATTAACTCAAAATTATCGACACGTGAATTTATAAAATGAGTTTGCAAACATCTGGCCATAAGGTCAAAACTCAAAATATGATCAACAGATGGATGGCTCTTCTGAGCTCTTCAACAAAGCCCCACCGAAGGCTTTGTGCTCTTTCTCCCTTTGTCTAACGAATCTTTTTTGGGAACATGTGAACAACAGCGGTGTTGATTCGGTTTGACTCTGATGGTCGGTTGTTTACTCTTCATAAAACATTAATATTGATAATGTCAATGAGGCCTTATTTTACAGATTTAAATATCTCTTTTAGACACACTCAAATTCAAGAGTTAGAAGTACCCAATAACCCAATTCCACGCAGTCATATTAGATTTAGAAGAATACTTTTCGTGTTTAAAAGTTTATTTGCGACACTGTTAAGCTCATGGATATTGGATATCTCAGGTTACTAAAGAAAATTACGAAATGACAGGTAAAATAGAATATAGATGCAATGGACAGTGGAGCCTTAATCAGCGTTTTTTTTAGTGGATTCCACATGACGTGAGCAGAGCTACTGGAAACTGAGTTCCCCAGAAACAAGGTTTTAAAGATATGATGGTGATAATTCACGTATTGAGCGTTATACGGTATATCTATCGCTATATGAGCATGTAATTCATTACCTTGATAGACATACCTATAATTAGGCTTTGGTTGTCGTGAATTTTTACAAAAAAATCAAACATCTTAAAATCAAATCATAAAAAGATAAAATTAAGATAAACTTTGATAACTGCGTTAAAAGCACAGATACAATATTTGATGTTTAAACAAAATAAATTTAAATATATCAAAATAAGTGTAAATTAAAAAGTCTATCCATCCTCCTCGCTAAAACAGCCTGCAAAATTAGGCTCAAAGACTATATCTTAAGATCTTACTTCAAAGCAAATTCCAAATGTAGCAACTATTCTCATTTCTCATTCTGTCAAATTTGAGGTCAGCGTCAAATAATATCCAAGTTTCTTCCTTTCTGGACCAAATTTTTAATCGCATTCAAGTCATCGGTATTCTTCTTTCGGCGTTCGGATTTGTTCGGTGATGAAACCCTGGAAACATCATTTTTCCTCGTACAGATTACCTTTGGAATGTCAGGAATTTTCAACTTTCGTGGCTTTTCTACCTTTCTTGAAGGCTGCGAGTTTCTAGAGGGCTCTGTTGTTCTCGAAGCTTCGATTTTTTTAGAATGGAAGAAACATTTTGTAGAAGAATCACCCTGGGAATTTTGAGAGACGTTTTGCTCAGAGGGAGACGATCCTTGGGATTCGGAGAATCCGGAAGAGGAACTGAACTTTTTTGAACGATCCGATGATTCGTTAATCGCAGACGGATTTACCACCGATTCTGTAAGTTCCTTCCCCGCGGGAAAATCTGGAAACATAGTATTGACAGAGGTGCAGCTGGAGCTCAGCGATTGGTCTGAGAGAACTATCTTAGACAAGGATTCATCAAGTTCAAGCTTTAAACGAGAGTAAATTTTGGACTCCATCACGGTTAGATGGTCCTGAAGGTCTGTCTCCGAGACGAAACTGGAATTAGAGCCACTAAGCGACACATCACTGACACTCATCACCCCGTGATCGGACCCACTTCTGGAAACATCTGCGGAATTTGTAACATGTAGGCATTCCAAACAAAACCACCACAACGAAGGGTTTCTGGACAGAGTTGCAACAGTAGATCTGCCAAGCTTGTCCGGCAAACAGGGGGTGTGGTACACTCGGCGACATATCGCGCATGTCACCTTGTCATGGTGATGTGGACACGTGATACCACATAAACTGCAGTACCCTCCCGAGTTGAAAACTCCCTGTTTCAGGTCCACGTCACCTGATCTGAAGGAAGCGATGTGATCCGTGAACCGACGTCCGGGAGGCGAGGATTCGGAGAACTTTAGAGGATTGTTCATATGGACAGCTGGTCAAGGGATGAAATTAGCAATAATTCAGTTAGAGATAAAACTAGAAAGAGCTAGATAAATGTACAAACTAAGTAGTAACGGCTGATTAGAGGAAAACTAGTACATATTTCGAGAGAAGTGATAGATCTTAGCAGGAAAAATGAATTACATATTAAGTATCAAGAAATTATGCTAAAATTTGTCAAGGAGTGCGGCTGTCATGGAGAATTTAACGTTGCATGTATTATAGAAAATTCCAGAGTCGAGCACCGATATTAAATCTCATGTTCAATTAAATAACAATCAAAACAAGAAACTCCAAACCTAAAATCATCCTCAAACCTTTTTCCATTATGAATTGCGACCATGTTCAAGATAGGGGACAAATCACGAACCTTGGGTTACGTAAACGGAGCAAGAGTAGGTGCAATACACACATGTGTGTGTTAATTTCTATATTCATATAAAAATGTGTAATATGAGACTAAGAATTTGTTATGTAGTGTGACGTGAAGTGAGTCTGCAATTTGTTTTTGAGTAAATGATTTTACTGCTGACAATAAGAGCGGTGGAGACTAGGACACTAGGTGACACTTGGTGAGCAGGCGTGACTAGGGTTGAGGCCGCTTTTTGCGGGTTTCCTACCTACCTATAATGTGACCTATAGCTATGTTGGGTTTCATCAAGACTTGACATCACATTTTCTGACCACCCCACAGCGAAGTAAAGTCTCGCTCGTTGCGCTAGCACAGCAGAGGGTTCGAATTTGGAGGAGTATATTATCCCCTGATCGGCGACTTATCAGGGAGAGACAACATGAACTTTGTTAGATCTCTTTAAAATGCTCGAGATCTTGAATCACATTTAGATGGTAGGGGATTCCATTCCACAAATTAGGTCCCTGAACTGCAAATGAGTTGAATGTTCGGATCATTGCATGTGCTAGTAGGGGCCACGACCAATTCTTACCACGCCACTCCAGGATCAGGTTAGGAGGAACAACAGTGAATCTCAAAATAAAGTATACCAAGGAGATATGTGTGTGGACAAGATGTTAGTCAATCAAATGAGTGAGGTGGGTTTTGCAGTGGGAAATTAATTATTCGGATGGAAAAATCATTTTGGCTACTTTTGAGCTGAATGGACTAATTGGCCTGAATTCCTTAGTAAGTAAGACTGATCTTATGCTAAAATCCACATGTATGTCATAAAAGGCAGATAGTGCAATTAGTGTTCGATAAAATATCAAGTCCTAAAGTTCGATAAAGTGGCAATATAACTAAAAACGGAATTACTAAGAACAACAATGAGGACAATAATGAATAATAGGACAACAAAATAATAACTCGTAGCTCGGTATGAACCACTGTAGATACGTGGCAAATCAAGCCATCAAGCAGAAAACAATACAGTTAATTTCCTCGCTGCTTGTTATCTAAATTATCAGTAGAACTATCACAAAATATCCGGTATATGTAGGCTACATCACATAGTAATGTATACTTGATGAAATGTGTTCGTGTTTGACATTTTAGTCACTGAATTTATAGTGATGAGTGGAAGTTATTGATATGTTGTGAAAATATTGTGTACAATTGTATAGATCTGGACGCTGGTGAACTGTATTTGTTTCGACACGTGACAGTGACACTGGATTTTGATAAGTCAACATTGGAAGCTGATTGGTTAATGGTTGTCACGTGATCGAGATGTTAGTAATCTTGTGCAAATATTGTGTAAAAGTTGTAGTATACACGCTGTGTACGTATTACTTTCTGTGTAAATAATAAATATTGTGTGGATTAACAAATACAATGGTCTCATCAAATTAAACTGTATAAAATAAGACGGTGAAAGGAGTTTTCTTTACTACAAAAATCTGATAAAAGGTGATAAAAACAAAGATAAAAACATAAATAATAAAACAAGTATATAAACAAGTATCAACACAAGAATGAACACTAAAGATGGGGGAAGTACCATGACTAAAAACCTAAAATGTAGAGACAAGTTTAATACTACACACCATGACTAGGAGCCTGTCCAATGCACTGTGGTGACGGCGACTAGGAGCTTGTTTATTTGCTATGCGTGGTGTGTAGCAGTAGAGGAAGCAAGGAAAGTTTGAGGTGGCAGGAGAGATATGATGTATTATCATAATATGTATAGGTTGTGTAATCTATAATGTACTTATAGTGCGTATATTTGTGTACCATCAAGTAATCAGGTATGTACAATATCTGTAAAGTTTACAAAATTGACTTTTTTGCATTTCTGTATTTTTTAAAGTGGCAATTGGCTATATTTTTCAGAACAATTATATCTTCAAAAAAATATTCTCGTATCGAATTAAATGATCACATTAAAGTGCACGTAAAGAGACGCAAAATTTAATTTTACAGCCGTAAGTTAAGCTAAGTACAATAATATCACTGAGCACAACAGTAATATGCTGAGATACTGAAACCTGCAAGTACTGTAAATCTTGTAAGAGCTAGCTTGTAATATGTAGCTCAGCGACGGAGTGGACCCCTAATTATAACTCCTTACATTATGGCCTTGTCAGATGCCTGACTCCATACCCTTGTATTGTAGAATCCAGGATGTGCAAGAACAACAGGATAAGTATTAAGTATGCGAATCTAAGGAAATTGGAAATTATGAACGATTTTACTCGAACAGATTTATGGTTGCTATGTTATATTGCTATGGACGATATTTAATGAGATTATTAGGATTATGTAATCCAGAAATTGGTTTTGCTGAACTTTACTGGCTGAGAAAAGTACAGACCCGAAAATAAGAACTTCTGATTGAATTTAAAACTGGCCTAAAAGCCACACGAAATAATCTAAGAGAACCCGAATAATGACTATCTTGTATTGTACAGTTAGCAGCAATAAAGATTAGAGAGAACTGAGAAGTTGAGTAATTATGCACAGCTTGACATGCTGAGCTAATGTTAATGATATATTTACACTGTTCCATATCAAGAATTGTTTTGTAGATTTATAACGTACAAACTCGCAGGGGAATCATCAGTAAAATATTGTACATCTCATTGTAATTCGCTTATGTTTTACTTGTAAGCAAGGCAAAAGTTTACACTTCAAATAAAATTTCGAAGGAAGAGAGGGGAAAAGATGTGTTTAAGAAAGTCGACAATGAAGAATGGGCAGAGGTTAAATTCTTGCTCAGGTCGTTCTAAATAATGTTTGGTTAACCCGACTTGCCATGAACGTTCTGATTGGAGTGTTGTTCGACCATGTGACAACTGTGAGGACCGATCAAAATCAAGATAACAACCCGACGTTCTTATCAACCAAAGAGCATCAAACATGGTGATCACGTGATGATCTTCAGTCAATTAGCGACGAGAGAGATAACAGAGTGCGAGAGACCTTTTAGCGCCAATCAGTTTTAAGAATGATAACCACGTGACATCTTATCAGCCCATCAGCATCGAGGGGGCTGAGGTTATCGGGTCTACTCAACAAGTCGGCACACTATCTTACATTATCAATTCTTGGTTTGTCGAGAACAGAACCATAGATAACATAAACACACGTATAATACTAGAATTTTAATTAACGACACCATATTTGAAAATAATAGAGTGTTCGTGAGAATAAGTATATAAGTATAACCATATTTAATTTCATGGTGTCCAAAAATGTTTTCATATTCCAGAATATAATATATATATCCTTCTGGTTGGTAATATACTCAATGATGGAAGTATAGTGTATTGGCTATGCCCCGCTTACTAGTTTAGCTCTTTCTAGTCCCCTGCTACACGGCATGTAAACAGGGATTGGCTAGTTAGAGGCGGTCCGTGTAGGCCTTACACTGTGCTTTCAGCAATACTCATAAATAACCTGGTATTGCACTATGATTAGCTAATTAAATTACCTTCAATTGATTAAAATTTCTGTCATAACGAGGATTTTAGGGAATATATCGCTTTCTTGGAGCGAAATCTGTTTCTACTCTATTCAACTTTCATATAATTATAAGCTTAGAAATTTTGTTCCCCAGACGACAGGTTTTACTTGCCCTGAAGAATTGAACAACTTGCACTCAACAGAATCTAGTATTGAGTGCATGGTACCCCCCCCCCCCCCCCCCCCCCCCCCCCTTTCCCTTCTGGGTCTCCAATAAAATTTAGAACTTAAGACTACAAATAAGCAATAAAACGGCAAAATCCGATGAAACATAACTTGTCGATATAAAATTATTAAATTTAATTCGACACAGCTTACTTATAATGGCGTGTAACTTGTTTGTTAATGCATCAAATAATTCGTAAATCTCTAAAACTCTTAAATCATTGTTTTCTGTTAATTACAAGTCGTTTATGAAAATATTAAAACTTATTTACATTTCCGCTGGTTCCTTTAAACTCACGTTACTTTCCTGAAATAAGCTAACTGATCAGCATTAAAATATTTAGAAAAAAAGGAAATATGTCATAACTAATGACCCATTTTATAAAGAATTAAAACTAAAAGAAGAGGAAACTATTTTGAACATTTAAAAGAAAAGAAAAAGTGCGGTCAAATTTTAAAGATTTAAAATGAGATTTCACTTCTGAGCACTTCAAGAAAACTGGATGGTCACAAAGAATGCAAATTGTGTCACATAAAAGTCAGTCAGAAAAGTAGAAAAAAGATTTTCCCATGCAACAAATCTAATTATAAGTTAATCCTTAGCATATAATATAGATCAAGCATGCTTACGATACAAACATATGTTTAAGGCTTTAGTTCTGCTTCGCACAAAAATATATTAACATCACTCGAAAACATTTTTTAAACATCACAAGAAAATTATAATCTATGTATTTCTTAAATTTTGCTAAAGAATTGCGTGATCTGTAAATGTAAAAATCAAGATTTTTTCTTACCTTTCTTCCCCTTCTTTCCTTTCTTCTTCTGCTTCAGCTTCTTCCTCGTAGCATAAGACCGCCAGTGGGCCTGAATAACAACCGCAGCTTTAGTAAGTAATCTTAATCTTCTTTCTTCCTCCGCCTTCAATTCGGCGTTAACTCTTCTTTCTTCGATGATACGATTATACTCCTCCTCCAGGACGGCGAACCTCTCTTCCAGATCCTCCAACTGCTGTTTCTCGACTTTATAAACAGCTTCTATCTGCTCATATTCTTCCTGTCTCTCGCCCATGTCGGTGTCGTACTTTGCGATCCACGTCTCGAGGGCAGATTCTGTTTTAATCTTCCTGCTGCGCAGAATCTGCTCCGATTGCCGGTGTTCTGCAACAGCCTGCGCGAGCTGTGTCCTCAGCTGCGCGATACTCTGGTTCAACCGGTCACATTTCCCGCCTGAAGTTTTAGTATCTGTCAGCTCCTGCTTCATGGAGTCAGATTTAATACGTTTGTTCGTTTCATTGCTGCTTTTCTGCAGCTGAGCCAGATCTGATTTCAGTTTCTTGATCTCCACATTACGTTTGTTCAGATCAGCTTCCCTTTCCTCTGATGCTTCCTGAAGCAACCCTTCCAGCTTCTTAACCTCCACTGACGCCTTAGCTTCACGCTGTATAATCTGCTGAATATACCTGCTCCTCTCCTCCTCCTCCTCGCGCGTAGTCAACAACTTCTCCATGATGATGCTGCGCAGGTTGTTGGACGTGCTGATGAGGGATGTGGCAGCGGACGGACGCTCAGATACTTGTCCCAGGACTGCTTTCAGTGCAGAGTGGTTGCGAGTGAAGAGGCGCACGATGGAACGTGTGGAATGGCGAATTTGTTGTTGGAGTTGTCCACGGTATGTACAGAGTGATTCGTAGGACATTTGCTCGACGTCACCGTCTATTCCGCCTCGTTTAGCTGATCCTGAAACAGTTCAATTTTAGTTTTTTGCTAAACAAGGGAGAATATTTATAATGATAAAAAGTAAAAATGCTATAAACCATGCAATAAAAATGATACACGAAACAAGATACAAGATACAAGATACAAGATACAAGATACAAGATACAAGATACAAGATACAAGATACAAGATACAAGATACAAGATACAAGATACAAGATACAAGATACAAGATACAAGATACAAGATACAAGATACAAGATACAAGTTACAAGATACAAGATACGAGATACGAGATACGAGATACAAGTTACAAGATACGAGATACGAGATACAAGATACGAGATACAAGATACGAGATACAAGATACGAGATACGAGATACGAGATATAAATACCTGTGTGAGCGACAGTTTCTTCCTCCTCCTGGAGGAGAAACACTTTTGAAAACTGTGCTTCCAACTTGTAGTGCTCTTTCAACATTTCTTGGATGTCGTCAGATATGATACTAGCGTACCTGATAATTATGAAAATTAATTATTAATTAAATAATTAATCATTTAAGCTGGAAATAGGGCTACAAAGTACAAATACATCAATTTGAGAATTTAACGGACACATCTATAGATGAAATAATTACTGTTTTAAGTTAATTAAACATAATTATATTTTCAGCAAAACAACACTAACTTTTCAGTGTTCTGAGTCAGTTCCGGAAGCAGAGTGATCAGTCTGATTTTACAGATGGTATCATCTAACACGGCCATTATACGCTGACTTTCCACTGTTACCAACTTTTTGCTGGACGGGTCAAGGATCTTCAACGGGTCCTCTCGCTTTGTCCCTGAAATTATTGCATTCCTAAGATTTGTAGGATTCCATTGCTGGGATTTTTGAGATTTCTGAAGAATAATCCAAACCTTTGGATTCCAATGGTCCTGAAACTGGAAAATATCGTACAACAATTTTTATGATTGAATTCATAGTGCATACCTTTAGTATTAGTAGTACTCTGCATGGCATGGTACATCTCGATGTCGCTCTTTTTCTTGCCCCCCGCAATCGCTTCACTCCTCGTGTGATGAACACTCGGGGGCGGGTCCACAATACTCGCCATGTGCTATCTGAACGGGGAAAGTCACGTGATATCACTTTCACTTTCACTTTCACCTCACAGCAAATTAAACACTAAGTAGATTAATGATAGCCATATATTTATCTTATTTGTTGTGAAACCCAGGTGTTGTGTTAATAGTGCAATTAAAGCAGCTAGTCATGAGTAAGAATGTGATTGCTCGAATGAATTGTTCATGAAAATTCCACAGTTTGGCGAGTGGAAGTTGGGCATGTGGTCTCACAACATCAGATGTACGTAAATCCAGTCTAGTATGCATGCTTACAATTACACACAGTCAAAGAAATATTTCAAAAATATTTTCAAAGAACAAACATTCCTTTTCAATAAAATTTCCATGCTGATTGCGCAATTTCAAAAATAGACATAATACATTATTCCGTGTACAGTGAAATGAGAATCATGACACGAAATATGCGTCTCTCAAAAAATCATAATATCGACATAAACTCACAAATTCTCAATAAAAATTTCATAACTACGTTTCGAACAACTGTTGAAGAAAAAAAGTGTTCATATAGAAAAATCAGACATATGGCCCTGCGAATCTTCCCCATCTCCGTCACTCTCTGACTCTGAGGCATCTGGATCATCAAACGCTTCTACAGCCTTGTCATGGTCAAATTCATAACAAACATTCTGAAGCCGAAAATCGGGGTCTATCTGTTTGATCTGTTGCCAGTTCACCTCATCGTTAGGAGCTGTGTGGGCTATGTTGGGACATGGAATTTTGGTCATGTGATCGTAGGGCCACAAAAAGAGTTGCTTTGGTGGAGTTCTACCCATGTGGAATCGGTTATAGCAATGCTTAGTAGGGATTGTGCCCACTATGATGCGTTGAGAGACACTTTTTTCCATGCCATTTACATTAATCATGATGGAGATCTCGTGGCTTACCTTCATGAACTCGACAATGTTGACAGCTGATTGAGCGACCACAGGGAGAAGTAGTGGCTCCTTCTCCTTGACCAAATCATGTCTTCCCGCAATGGACCCCATCTCACTCCAATTCAAGACATTCCTTGATGTCTCTACCTTCTGTCCGGATGACAGATATTTCACAATCTCCACCAGTTGTATCCAGGAGTTTGATATTTTACTACTTGAATTGTTATCTATCTCAACATGCAACAATATCTCCTCCCCGGGGACGTACCCTAACTTTTCTAATCTTCCCGCGACATGAATCTTCTTTCGTGACAGTCCTACTTTAAAGGTTTTGGTAAAAGTAGCAGGTTGGAGAGCGTCCCGAACGTCACAGAGGTTACAAGCGTCGACTACTGAAACCAGGCGCTCGTGGTCTTGAACTACCGCCCATGGCCAGTCAACCTCCGCTTTTAGGTAATATCTGATGTGCCCTTTGGGCAATTCCATTGATGAAGGAAGCTTTCTTTTCTTCTTCCCTTTGAGAGATATAGAAAATGGAAACTGTATATTATCTCCTGCTTGCAAGAACATTGTCTTACCTTCACCGACAATATACTTTTCTGTGTACATCAAATTATCATCGTTGAACTGCTTTACTTTTTCTTTCTTTCCCACCAAACTACCTCTCTCTTCCCACCACACTACCTCAGAACGACACCGTAACGTCAACCTTATCCCACGCATCCTTCGCTTGTACTTGTTGTCAATCTCCACAACCCCACTGATATCTTGGCCCACAAAGTAAACCTCTCGGTCCAGTTTTACTCTGATTTCCATGGGCTTCTCCTCGGGTGATGATTCCTCCTCTCCATCAGAATCTGAATCACTGAGTTCGAACATATCATGTTTGCCCATGGTGCAGGTGGTATGGTTGAGTTTTCCTAAATCTGAGTGAGTGAGGTGGTAAGAGTGGTGAAATTGTGGTTTAAGATGGTGAAATTTGTGTGGAGCTTGATAGAAAGCAATAAATGTGGACAGGGCGGTTGAAAGTGAAATTATAATTGCACATTAGGTATAAACAGGTTAAAATTTTCAACATACACCGGCACGATACAGGATTTTTAGAATTATTTGTAATAAAGCTTTCTTTTCTTCTATTATGTCCGTTTTACAGCAAATTAGTAGCTTGTGGTCTTGAAGTTACTCTCAAAATGATGTTAAAGGTATCTAAAATCGTTAATTCACCCACGTAAAACAAATTACAGCAATACCTCTCAGGTTTAAAGCTACCTCAAGTCAAAAGAGTGTCTCTGTATCCAACAGATTTAGTGCTCATCTGTGCGACACGCTCCCTCGTACGCTCCAATTCCTTCCACCTTCGCTCTTCCATAGCTCGCTTTTCAGCCTCTAAATTGACAGATCGTTTTACAGGAAGTGTATTCATGGTCATTTGCTGAGTTTGCCGATACTTCATACGTTCAGCACGTTTTTCTTCCAATTTTTTCTGCATAGCATCGATTTCCGTCGAGCGTACCTGAGGTGGAGACTTGAGTTTTTTCTTCTCTTCCATGACTTTGGCAGTTTCCTGACTGATTACACCTCGGTTATGTGAAATCGCTTCTAACTTCTGCTCGATCATTTTCTTGTAAGATACTTTTTCGGCAAGAATATCTCCCCTTTTCTCTTCCAGTTCCCTAGCTTCTTCTTCCTTTATCAGAGCTATCCTTTCCCGCAATTCAGCGATAGACATCTCACATAGAAAACCAAATCCGGCTGTCGAGGTCAAGTCAACAAACTTGGCAGTAGAAGTTGGAGTTCGATCAAAGGCTCGAATTTCTTGGATCATCTTCATCTTTCGCTCCATTTCTCGAGCAGACTCTTCGAAGGCAATTTGCATCAGAGCTTTGCTCTCAGCATGAACCTCCTGGACCATTTTGCGTTTGACCTCTTGAAGCTTCAATTGAGCGTCTTTTGCCTGCTGATGACCATCTTGGATTTCCAAAACCCTCTCTCTGATCTCTTCCTCGAGTTGAAGTTGGGATATCAGATACTCTTTCAACATCTTATCTGCCTCCACCTTCAGCCTTTTAACCTTTTGCTTGTTCATCTCCGTCAGTTTTTGCTTGGCCAACATAGCCTCTTCATAGGATAGCATACCGATCATCTTCTTCCTTGCTCTTTCCTCGGCCTCCTCCATTCGGAGTTCTTCGTCCCTCTGTTTCTTCCACGTTTGGAAATCATCGTCGGTTCCTTCTCCAGATAAAACTCCGACTATTTTCTTTAATTCTTCTTCTTCTTTCTTCGTATACAAAGCATCTTCTCGCATGATAGCAGCAGCGTTCAGTTTAATAGGGGCAGCGTTTTCCATGATCTTTTTGGGGACTGGTCGGGCTTTGTACGAATCGAATTTGAGTTGAGCCTCACTGTCTTTAACAATTGTGTTCAGTCTTTCCTGTGTTTTAGTTGACTTAACTGTCTTGGTATGATTAGCACTCAAAGTACGAACTCGATCCAACATCTGTTCGGATCTTTTTCTGTGCTCTTCTTTCTTCTTTGCCAATTCCATTTCTTCACGAGGGGATTTGTAAGTGGAAGAAGGAATAGGGTTAGTTGGTTTCACTTTAGGCACCGGTTCAGGTAAAGGAACTGACCGAGGCTTCACTTTAGTCAAACTGAATGGCTTTGGTTGAGTATGTGTAGACTCTTTTTTCGGCTGTGGTTTATTCTGGAGTTTATCATTCAGATTTGAAATAAGTTGCTCTGCTCTGTCCATATTGTTAAGAAGATTAGGAAGAATTGAGTCCTCAACAAACTTTGAATCATATATGTTACACCATTTACTCTTCAACCAAGATTGCAACTTCGGTAAATCAAATAGATACTTCAGGAAGGAAAACATTTTGAGATTATCCTGTGGTGCGACAAACGATTCAAAGTTTTGAAAGCCAAGATCGTCCAAACGAAAAAGTGCAAGATATGAAAAAATTCTGTACAGAATGCAGTCTTTTCTTAGCATCTTCTTACCCTCATCTAAATAGAAGTTTTCAACAGTGACAACTAACAGGGCATGATGCCGAACACATCCTGAGAACACTTCAACAACAAAATTTTCTTCAGAATCATCCAAATGTGGGTTATTGTCCAAAATATCCTGCAAACGGATATCTGCAGCCTGAGTTTCAGCGTCGAATCCCTTTAATCCTTTGATACATATGTCAATAAGTGCTGTATAGTCCATCCTGGAAATATGGTTCATATTTTGGTCAAACAAAACTTCATAAACTGTACCATCGATAGGCAAAAGAAATGCAGTAACAGATGTGCAATGTTAACCGGTCACTAATAAATCTCAAATATCACGAATAACAAGGTACATATTAAGTTTACGTGTAATTAGGGTAATAACGAGAAAACAACGCACAAACGACGAAGATACCACGCTTTGGCTTTGGTAGCTATAGTAACGATTGGCTCTGCGCAAGCAATCGAAGAGCGCGTTAATCGAAAATTTAAAGTATGCGCGGCGTAGAAATTGCTTATATTGTTTTGATGTATGAATAATAAAGTAAATATTTTGAATGAACAAAAAAGTAGTTAAAACTTAAATAAACCGTATTTAGTAATTGATTGAAGTTTTTCAATTTTTATACAATATTCAAATATGTTTATACTTCAATGGTATAATTTTAATTTAATTGAATAACATTTAAAATCATTTTGTTAATTCTAAAATTAAATATTTTGTTGTAAAATATATTAAACAGCAAACTTTCATTTGATATGAATTTTACTTAAGTTTTGTTTGAAAATATCAAATTATTTCCTAAAACATCGTCAAACCAAACTTATCAATAATACGCGCCGCGCAATGATTAATATCGCACCATGAAAGTAAAAATCGAGCGCTGTTTAAGTTGATTTTGTTCACGTCCCTATTATGAAGCTGTTTATAAAATCAAAATTTTCGAGCCTCCATTATAAGTTTGTTGCTCATGTTTTCGACTGAATATTTGGACTATTCACATGCACTCATTACTTGAACTTATATCTTCGAACTAGACTACTCATCATTGTGATGACTGTGGAGTGTATGAGACATTGAGACTTATTGATAGTTTATGGAACATCGTCTCTGATATACAGTGCCTGATACACAGTGCCGCTTTTTCAACAGTATCGGTGGCACCAGAAACTGCAAGATCAAAAGCTGGGAAAGTTTCCATAGTATTCTGATAGATGGATCATTTTGATGATGAAACAGTGTACTTCCTACAAGAATAGATACATTGATTTTTCACTCTCATTATTTCCAGAATTAGCATTCATAATTAAATTGTTTGTTTCATAAACGTTGATAATTCGTTTTCAGTATCGATTTTCATTCGTTTTACAAGTTCGATAGCTGTTCTGTAAACTATACATATGCAGCTATTAATTAAAATGAGTGAATTCTAACACATATCTTCATAAACAAGCTACAAAATCAGTTGATCCCCCTCATGATACCAGAATAAACTAAGTATCTCGACAAGGGCATGTGAGGAGCTCTGGTTGATGAGTCAGTTTAATTGCCAATTCTGGTGTAAACCTCATAACAAAGGTTAGATATCTAAATTACGTTGTTAATTGATACTGTTCATGCTGTGCTCACATAATCTAACATACATTAAACAAACTTAAACTTACTGTAGAATGTGATTGCAGTAATTGTGTTGACAAAGCTGCTTTGTTTATCAAATATCCGAATTTAGTTTAATAGGAAAATGCTTTTATCTGTGATTTAAGAAATAGTTCTTCCTTTTTTAGAAGTTAGCACTATTCATTTTTTCTGTGTCATCTACTGCAAGCGCCAAACAAGACACTAATTAATATCATTGAAGTATTTAATTTAAGTTCTTTCCATTTCTCTAGTAACACACAACACACAGCTTCAGTGACATGTGTGGACTGTGGTGACTTCGTGTTTGATAACATAGCTTTCCTCTGTAAGCTTTGTTCAGAACGACAGCATTTGGTAAGTCAGTCAGAAACTTGTTGAGATCAGAATCTAATATCTTTTTTCACTCTAAATTCATTGTTAATATTTGTTGTAGTTAGACACTTAAAACATTTTTGAAATTATGACCAACAAATCAACATTTAGAAGCATCAAGATCACGAGCTTGTGCCACTTAAGGAATATATTAAAATGTCCAAGTCACTGACCAAGTCGGCTATTGAGGAAAAAAAGGTTCAAGAATCCTGTAAAAGCATACTGCTGGTTGATGACTGTGAAACTCTTTGCGTAAGTTTTAAAATAGAGAGACCCAGAAAGATTTACCTCAAATTTAAACATTAAAGCAGTAGCTGACTAGTGACTATCTTCGTATTTAGTCAGCTTTTAATCATATTTCTGTTGAACATTATTAACGAATCATTGATATTCAATTTATTATTCTGCCACCCGTATTTCAGGTTAAAGATGTAAAGGCATTAGCTGAGTCCCTACACATGACACATGACCTGCCAGTTAACGTGCTCTCTATATTTGGTAACACTGGGGACGGTAAATCTCACACGCTTAATCACGTGTTCTTTGCCGGGCAGGAGGTCTTTGCTACCTCGTCCAGTCAGGTGGGGTGTTTTGATTGGTGCTTAGTTTGATTTTAGTTATTATTGTTTGACAAGCTTATAATTGATTACTAATTCTTTTAACTAATTGACTTTTTATTTTTATTTTGTTGGCTTTTAACGAGGGGAAGTGTTTTATGTCGTGGCTAATTTATAGAGCCTGCTTATGACATAGTCGGTCAGTCACCAAGCTGTGATTTGGCACAGCTTCGGCTGGCGATACACACTCCCTGGCTCGTAGGACTAACCCCCCTACAGCTAGTATAGTGCCTCGGCACAGAGTGGCTTAGGGTTACTGAAAAGGAGATAAGCACCTCAGGCCATCCCAACTTGCGGGAGAGACCTGCCCTTGTATCTTGTATCTTGTATGATATGATGATATGAGTTGTAGGGTTATAACATTTTTACTGAACCAACTGGTTGATTAAATATATCGTTTTAGGTTGAACACAATTCACATCATTGTTACAATTACAATTTAGTCATTCATGTATAATATTTTAAAACTGAAACTCTGTTTTTGTAGAAACCAGGAACGATTGGAATGTGGGTAGCGTATGATCCAAGTTCTAATACTCTTGTTATCGACACCGAGGGACTACTTGGTTAGTCAAGTCTGTTTGTTTCTAACTTTATACGTTTATAAAGTTAGACTTCCCAATGTCATAGGTCAATTTGGATTACCCCAATCATTGAACATTATTTTTGTTAACTTAAAATTTATTAGTTTTTGCTTGCGACTGTAGCACAACTTTGCTGTCCTATAAGTATTTTTAACAAGTATATTCAATATCGTTTACAGGTGTAAGCAGTAATCTAAACAGAAGAACCCGGCTCCTCCTCAAGATATTAGCGCTTTCTGATGTTGCGCTTTATCGCACCCGCGCTGAGCGCCTCCACAATGACATGTTTGTGTTTCTTAAGGACGCGAGTAATGTGTACTGTGAACACTTTAGTTCTGAGTTAGAGGTATTTAATCATATTTAAAACTTATTTTTGTTAATCTGATTTTCATACAGAATGTAGCATTTGAAAATTGGTGTTATCATACCAATCGAAACATTGGATACACTTTTGATGTGGGTCTCCAACTTTTAGAATATATGTACTGATAAAACAGCTGGCTGACATGTGAATGGATAATGGATATGTGTCGGTTGTAATTTGATATTTTCTATTTATAACAGTGTAAATGATATTAAGTCTTGGCTGAGTATATTTTTTCTCATTTCACATCCCTACCAAAATCAGACCCAATAAAAAACTTCACTTCATGGGAAATTTCATCATTAAAATTAACAATATTTCTCGTTGTAACGGTCCCAAAGTCTTATTTATTCACTCTATCTCTTACAATTTCACAGGGTGTTCTAGAGAAACACAGCATAGATGTGCCGGTGTCTAAGCTTGGTCCTAAAGTCGTTGTGATTCATGAAACACAGTTTACAGACACATTGGATTCCAGTAATGAGATGGTAATTCCTTCATTATTAATTTAATAATTGTTATTATTATTATGTAAATTGTACTAGCGTGTTAGTTAATGATTCATCTAGTCAATTAGTCAGTTAATTGACTTGCTAATTAAACAGGTGCTAACAGATGACCAGAAGTCATTGGGCAGCATGAGTAACTCCAGACCATCTCTACACCGAGCTGAGGAGGAGATTACGTCACGATTTCTTGCTCTTGGAGAGTATCCCAAGGTGAGTAATCACGTGATCACGTCAGTGACGTCACTCTTTTTAGAGTAATTACCCTGAAGATTATAAGAGATCTGTCATCTTAAAATTTGAGATTGGCCTCAAAATTTTGGACCTTTATTTTTGATTTTAGAGGTCCACGATTTTCAACGGATCACATTGCTTATAGCTCACACATGTCAAGGTGTTCTTATCAACAAAGGAATGTAACGTGCTTATGATACTCAAATGTACACTGAGTGTAACTTTTTATAATCGTTCGTTTGTTGTACTCAGCATGAAGAATGTTGTCACGTGTTTAAGTCTGAGAGATTTGCTGTATTTCGTTTAGAGAGTATGAGATTTGTCTTCTACAATCAACAATCAGTGTCATAATTGCTTAGGATTGCCAGCATTCTCAGCATTGCAATCATTCTCACCATGTCTTAACCTCTCCAGTCTCCACGACTTTTCCTGGTTCAACTAAGTTGAGTCAACTTCTCCGAATCTATCCAATAACCAAATATTCAGTGAAAAAGTTACTCAACAAACAACTAAATAAATACACCAATCAGGCTTACAGTAAGATACGTTACATTGGTGTGAAATCAGGGAAACAGCCCACTGATTTTGACATGATACGAGAGGCAGTGTTAGAAGAAGTAGGTTCCAGCAGTATCAGGAACAGTAAATCTCTTGCTGTCATCATGGAAACTCTACAGGTAGGTTTTAATTACGTAAATACGTACTACCTAATACGTAGTTTGTGGCAAATCTGTTGAGTCCTTATTTCTTAAGTTCGATTATTAAGGATTTATGCCGTACGTAAATATTTACTTGTTTTGTAGACGATGGTTGTACCACGGTTGGATTGGGGTCAATCCCTCACATTTGGATTTGAAACTTACTTAACAAATAGTAAATCTTATGGTAGCTGGTGAACAATGACTCGTCAATAAGGTCATGAACAATGAACAGTATTCTTGTTGACTAGTTACCATTTTTCTGATCATAAATAGTAAAAATCTTAGCAACCCTTACAACTCCCTCCAACTCCCAGGTACTAAACAGTAAGTTCAGCAACTCCATCTCACCCCGGCCTCTCTCTACCTTCTCCGATCAGTTCTTCAGATGTCCAACTCTTTGTCTTACTTGCGGGTGGGTTTTAAATATTCGTTAAATGAAATAGCTAAAATAAATAAATATTATTTTATTAATTATAATTAATATAAATTTATATTAGATGTGACCTCTCGCGGAGGTGAATTTAAAAATCACTGCATTACCAATTTTTCGAAACATATGTTGATCAACAAGATATTTCCTTACAATTCACCTGTAAAACCCCAGTAAAACCCCAGTAATATCTCAAGTAAACCCTCAGTAGTATCCCCAGTAAAACCCCAGTAATAACTCCAGTAAACCCCAATAATATCCCCAGAGATCAGTGTAAATTATCAGTATCCCACGACGGGAAGCACGCCCCCTCCAGTACCTACTGTAGATACCAACACTTACACAAGAACAGAGTTTATATCTGCGGAAAGTGTTATCATAACGGGGATAGAAGCGAGGTTTAATTTCAAAATAATTTTAATTCAGTTATTTATTAAACCAATATATTATGTATGTAAAATCCGGATTGGAGTATTGTTTATGAGTCGCATTGTTGTAATGTATTCTGTGTAAAATTATCTTTATCCCGGTTACTGCGACAAGTAAAAATGCTCTTATTAGGGAAAGGAGATTACTCAAGTAAACTCCTTTCCCTAATAAGACCAATATATTATGGTCAAGTGTAATGAATCGTGTGATACTCTGGTGAGTGGTGGTGTTATCGCGAAATTTCGTTCCATATCCATTTATATGTAATTTTAACGTTAAACATTTTCAATTACAAAAGTACTTCTGGAAGTCAAATAGTCGTTAAAAATACACTACATTTCGTACACTGTCCGCTGTTTATAAGTACTTACTACTGTAACTCAATATATGTATTAAGTATATTTCTCAGGTTTCAATTGTTATTTCCCAGGTAATGTCGAAGTCGTACGAGGATAGTGACAGCCTGTGGTCTGGGTACGCTAAAATGGCCTGGTCTGGGTAAGACACTTTTAAATCAAGATATCTGCCAAAATCAATGGTTCCTGTCGGAATCTTTCCACTTGTAATGCAAGAGTCCTCCTTATTTATATTGCTTCAGCGATATATCATGTTTTCCATTAGTTATGTCAAACAAGTCACGAGATTACGGGTCATGAGATTAAAATTTACAAGTCTGACATTAGATTGATGTAGTAAAGATTTTATATTCGAAAACCTTGAGACCTGATGTCATATTCATTATTCATATATTGATAGTACTGTAAATGCAATCAAATGCAGCCCTACAATCTACATCATATATTTAGTTGACGACTACAGAAAATAATGATACTACCTAAAACACTGGCTCGCAACTTGTGATTGAACTGGCTGTACCGTGTACACAGACCTCAAATAACCTGAACCTTAATTTCAAAATAATTCTTCACTGAAGATTGAAGATTTGACAACTTGCCATCCTCCCAGGTATGTCATAGAGTGTGATAAATGTGGTGTGATATACCGGAGTAGACAGTACTGGTACGGAAATAAACCGCCGGAGTTAGACTCAGTCCGGACTGAAATAGTACATGTCTGGCCGGGGGTGAGTAGTTATATTTGGGGTAACTTCCGCATTAGAGTTTGACGTTAAAAGGGTCTACTGAAGAAATTTTTGGAGCGCGCTAACGTTTTTATGTTGACACAACGCGCGCGAATGCTATTTTTACACAAATCCATCAAAATAATAGCTCGGCTGATCGTTGTTGCATGTGCAAGTGCCAAGAAGTAAGTGATCTTGTCACATGACCTGAAATTTAACAAGTTTGTCATGCGTGTTGTCCGGAGATCGTAACTAGCTGCACTCTCTCAGGAAGAAAGCAGGCCTGATAACACTGGTAGATATATATTGGATCAGATCTATTCTGTGTCTGAAACGATAGGTAACAATTCTTTAATGGATAAATGTAGATCATATGCGCTACTGTTTGATATCCCATATATATTTGTTAGTCAGCGATCTTATCAGTATGGGAAGTAAATATGATTTTCTGTTCAGGACAGTACAGTGCGGGGCCAACTCAGACGGTAACTGATTGGATAAACGACCAGATAGCGCCTCCTTATTGGGTCCCCAATCACCTCATCACTGTATGAATTACATTTTAATCTTTTTCTTTTTTCAGTCCGTCTGAATCAGTGTTTGGCTCCCGCCATGTTCGCTGAACATTTATCTTTGCTGTGATTGGTATTCGAGGTCTCCTGTAATGACCGGTGATGCTAAACAGTATTATGACAGATCTCTACTTTTCACGCCTAGATTTTAATTTCTTTTAGTTACTTTTTGTACATTTCTTTCAGAACTGTTGGTCGTGCAAGAAGGACTTCATACCTCTGGCTCAAAAACACCACTGTAGAGCGTGTGGTAATGGGTTCTGTTCAGATTGCTCATGTCAGGTGATAAAAATAATTGTTTTATTAAATAAATAATTGCTTCATTTAAAAAATGATTGTTTTATTAAATAATTGTTTCATTGATATTAAGATTATTAGCATACTACATACTAGTTGATGCTTACATGATTTTAGCTAAAAATTTAGCTTTTTTTATAGTGACCTGTAGAATCAGAATGAAAAACATATCACAAACCCACCTGTGATATTTTCAAAACAATTCCACTGTGCAGTAACCAAAGATGTTACCATAGAACTAATAATACCTGTTTTGACACTTATTCCTTAGAGTAAGCCAGTGCCGTGGAGAGGTTGGGGTTACGACGCGGTGAGGGTTTGTGCTAAGTGCTTTGCTTCAACTGGTGAGTGGTTATTTCTTGACATCAATTGTAAACTTAAGTTTAATAATGGCAACGTTTTTCCATACAAACGGGCCTATAATCAAAATAAATTAACTTAATTGTAGAACTTTGCAGTGTCTGAAATCAACTATCAAATATATGCTACAAAACTAGACTGACTCGATCCTCCACCAGTTTCAAAACTTTCACATGACTAGATCACCCACCAGACGAAGAGCTAACAGAAGAGTACCTCGCCGCGGATATAACAGCATGGAAAGTATCGGAGTGTATAAAAACAGCAGCTTCAGTTGTCAAGTCGGTAGTGGAGGTTCCGGCGAGTATGGTGACGGATTCCGTGAGACCTGATTATTGGGTGCCTGATGTAGATATTATAGGTTTGTTATATCATGGGGATGGGTTGGAGACCACCAGACAGAACAGTCGGGATTTGGTCGGGATAGTGTGAAATATCTACTTCTAAAGAGGTCATCCATTAAAAGATTAATGAATCACTGATCAGTTCTTAAAAACAATAAATCTGGCCATTTATTGTTTTTAAGAACGGATCAGTGATCATTTTTGAGCGCATGTTCGTTACACAAGCGTCCCAGTGATCACTAATTCCAGTTTGTGATGAATATTAACCGCTCTACCCCCTGCAGAATGTTACCAGTGTAAAAGTCCGATAACCCAAGACAAACACCACTGTCGGGGGTGTGGTCAGGGGTTCTGTAGCGACTGTACCAGTAGCAAGAGACAAGGTCAGTTATCTTACTTCTGTTAGTCTAATAGACTTTTTAGACTCATTTTTAGACACATATTACGTAATCAGCAGAGGGGGGAGGGGGTTTCGAAATGATTACGCTAGTGTAATTTTAACACAATAGCTATGTGTAAAACTGATTACGGAGGGGGAGTTGTCCAAAAAGTGATCACGTAATATGTGAACGACTCCTTGCCCTCAAATTTCATTTCAATTTTCCTAAATATCCATTTTGAAAGATTTCTTGATTAACCATCATCTAATTTATTAAAATTAACCAATTTCTTCAGTTCCAGATCGAGGTTGGACTTATCCAGTTAGAGTATGTGACACCTGTAGTCTGACCTTGTGATACAACGTAACATCTTTTAGAAACTAGAAATTCGTGACAACTCAACAAAAACTTGTTGGCTAAGAGTATGATTTTATAATGAGACTGTCGAATTAATTATGATTTGATTTTAACACTATTTGAGTCTTGATGTCATACCTCGACTTTATGACTCGAGTTGTGATTTTTGAAATTATTTGTATTCGTCCAAGTTCTAAAAAAAAGACTGTAGAGTTGAAATTTGAAGCCATGCAAACGGAATCTATTATATGTGAAATGTGAAATGTGAAATTGTACGTAAGAATGTGGATTGATGTCATCATGTGATTCTTGAAGATTTGCTGCCTTGAATTGTGCTCTCAAATTGGTAGCTTAAACTAGCCCAACGGGCGGGAAGGTGGAGGAAATAAGTAAATAGGCAGCCAAAATTCAGACTCCTTTTATTTGCTAGGTATTAAAGTATTGTGGTGTCCCTGTAAACAGTATTTAGTAATTGCTGTATTTTGGCAGATGCTTTCTGTGAAATTTAGATAGGCTAAAAGAGCAGCTACAAGTTCATATTGCAGTCCCAATCAAGGCTACAGTTCTTGTTCAATCGGAAGCAGCTGATTTCCTGGTTTAGACCATTTGTTCTACTAATCTGGTGTATTCACCGATTTACTGTTTATTTGATTCAGATTTTATTCGTTGATATAGATCTAGATACTGGTGGAGAGGTGAACCATTTGTTTTCTGTCACATGACAACGATTAATAAACCATCTTCCAGCATTGGCCAACCAAAGCACAGCAGAGAATCACTGACCACTATCAAAACAAATTTGGGTCATCTCCCCACCAGTATCCATATCATTAAGCAAAATATATTTGAAAACATGGGTTTTATCCAAATCCGGAGGGGTGTGTTGATCGTGTTAAATTTATATTTGTACCCAAAAGCTGGATTTTAATTTGAGTGTATAATTAATAATTATGTCTGAGACTGTATAACTGTATTCGCAAGTTACACAAGTATGGATCTCCCTGTGTAAGTTAACCTGTTTTAATGTTTCTTTGTTTTTAATAAGACTATGTCTATATCAATATGTAATGTAGAAAGTTAACATAAAATTCTTTAACTTTTTAATTTGTTTGATGAAATGATAATCATATTCTAATTCTACCTGCACCAGAAAGATTTTTATTTTACTTGGTCTAAATCAACATCCTTAACTCTTTTAAAGGTGTTGAATAAATTTTTGATTTTACTGTCAAACACGTAATTAAAACACTAATACTAGGATTAATGTCAGCAGTCTTCAAATCACAGATTTTAACTGCGGTGCTATAATTTCGGGTTCACCGAGGGACAAGTAAAGCTACATTTGAATTATACTCGTGCGCGGCACCCGACTACCATGAGCCTAATGGCCTTCTATTTTCTAAATTTCTGTTGTGAAATTTTCCATCAAATTTTATAAAAAACCAGCTTCAGGGATCCCATCGGCGGTGCAACAATTAAAACAACGAATTGTGTAGTGATTGTTTGCCAAAATAAATATGGTAGTGATACAAATACAGGCACATTATAGCAAATAGCTGACCCTTAGCAATTTATACATTCCAATCATAGCTATGCATAGCCTCCCGATCTTAATGGGATTCTAACAGTTGCCAGGCGATCAATACATAGTTTTAAATGTCTGGAATGTTGGTATCAATCTCCTTTTTAGCGCATGAAAAGTTAAAGTCGTTTTATTGGATCAAAGGCAACAATGCTAAACAATTTGCAAGATCAGATATGGGCCCCTTCCTGAAACACGTCTGCAGCATCACGTAGGTCGTAGGGGGCGAGATAAGTGTCACGTGATAACACCATAATGTCACGTGATGAGTGTCCAAATTTGGCAGACGTGTCTCGTGAAGGAGCCCAAACCGTTAATAACGTAACAATAATTGTGTAGTAGAAATCAAATAAGTTACCGTCTTGGATACGATTAAATACACAGTTTCAAATAAATATTCTCCCTTAGTATAAGATCGCATAATACAAATTTGCAAATGACACGTGCATGAATTAAAATCACAAGAAGTGGACCAGGTGGCCAAGTATCATCCTTTCCATAAAATCTCAAATTTTTCCATTCTAAAACTTATCATCTCGTTATTTGAACCTAAAGTTATAAGTTTTCCAAATCATATTTGTTATTTTGCTTAGGATAATAAGAAATATTACGGTGATAAGATCAACTTAAACGGCGACCAAAATTTCCAGAATTTAATCAAATATATATAAGACCAACGTAATATCATATAAACATTCTCAAAACAAATCGACAGGGGTGCACAATACGCATATATTATTACCATTAAATTTAAAACAATGAGCTAAAGTAAAATACTGGCGATCCACGCGACTTCATGATTTTTATTGTACCGGAAAAAACCAAAATTATTACAAATTACAATCATATATAGATTCCAACGGAACAGGGCGGCCCAAAATATCATTAACATTATAATCATACCATTAAAACTGTAATCAACAAATTCAAAACATAATCGGTTAAATTTTTGTGTGCACTTGTTGTTAGTCCGCGTAATGTAAGTTTAATCTATCTTCGCCCTGCCCGTTTTCGAGAGAAATTGTATAAATCAATATTACGGCAATCATCGGCTTGATCAGCTCTATTATAACTATTTAATTTAAGGACACACTCACAGCTACGCATTGACACAAATAGTCTGGAAGATGTTTTCTGTGCTCAACATTACAGTACAATGTTTTTATATAAGCCGCAATCTTATTTGTTATTCAGATTGAATTTTTTCGTATTATTATGACTAAAACCAAATTTCATCGGCTTTCAACTCAAACAACAAAGAATATTCTGCCTAATACACCTTACTATTTTTAATCTATCACTCTATTTAAGGACGCTATCTGGGCTATGAAACGTTTAGTAAAAATAGATTTTTTGCCAGAACTTTTAAGTTCTGCTTAAAGAAATCGATCAGCACTTAACGTAACTTAATCCGGATGGGGTTCTTAGTCTTTACACAAAAATTAATCAACAAAAAACAGAGGGATTTAACTGACATGGGTGTTTCCTAGTTCGCCCAAAAATTACTCCGGTAAGCCCAAATTTATAATTGGATCGGTATGCAGTAAAATGATAGATAATTTTAAAACTTAGCATATCAATAAAAACACACGTACAGTCCGAGCTATTTACAATTTTTCGAAAACATAAAATTCAAAAAATCAATATATGAAAATAGATGGTATATTTACAGACATCACTTAAACAGATGCATTACTGCCCCGCGGAATAATCTCACACATAATTAGGTAGATTCAATCAAGATGGGACTTGTATTTTCGGGAGATATCCATCGGGAAGGCAAGGCATTAGCCTGAAATTACTGGGCAATAATCTATAATCCTACATCACTATCTATCACACAGCATGAAGAAAAGTCATTCGTTCACAGTTTCTATTTATATCTTTTTATTCTAATTTTGTCCTACAGTAAGTTCGCTTAGTGTACAGCAAGTACATGGAGTCTACATCGGTGTACTATGCCCACCGGATGTACAATGTACACCCAGTGTACGATTTACACCGACTCAAATTTAACGAATTGAGCCTTGTAATCGCTCACACACTCTCACACACACACACACACGCATTCTGAGTTCCGTAATAAGTGATAAGTGATGATGAAAGTATAAAAGCGTACAAAACGGTAGATATTATATAGCTATAAAATTATGAGGTGCAATAGTATGGCTATAAAATGATGAGGTGCAATAGTTGACGGGTCCAGCTCGTCTAAAAGAGGGATTTATTCTACAATAGTTCGTCGTTACTTTTCTGAAATTAAATTAAGCGATAAGATATGAATTTATGATGTATCGGATAATCACTGATCTGTGTAAGGCCCACTTTTTAAGAAAGCAGCTTTCTAGTTAGCTATATTCTAGTTATATTATTTATATAGTAATCTATTTATTCTCACTAACCCGCGAGGGCACATTCGGCAATTTGGCTGCACAGTGATTCCAATCCAACATAGTCTAGGCTGTCCGGCTTGTGTCCACTTTGCTCGGTGAGTCCCAAGGTTGAGCAGGGGAGTGAGGGACAGCTACCCGCTGAAATATTAAAATTAAGTTATTATTAAATCACTGATTAATTACCGAACACAATAACAGTCTAATTTGATTGATAAGAACATAACTTAAGTGATTTGGCAAGAGCGAGAGTCCGAGACCGCAGACAACTATGCAAGCGTGCCGATCAGAGTTTAAGATGCTGCGCGCGTCCAAAACACATTGAAAAGATAACGAAAGTGGAAGGCTTTTGATGAAAATATTTCATCGCGCGCGCCGTATTTTCGGTAATCACAGTGAGGTCCGAGAGCAAGGCAACTCTGATTCCTTCCATCAAAATTACTTAACGAACAAATTTTCCAACTTCAGATCACTTGCATACCTTCGTTGTTTTCATTGGTGGGAATGACATGTAAAACGTTGACTAAAGTCTCGGCACTAAAATCGAAAGGGTGAGTGTGTGATGAGTGATCGTGCGATGAGTGATCGTGTGTGTTGTGTAATGTGTGGGGCAGTTCTTCTCGGGTAGTGTTGGGCCCTGTCAGTAATAATGTGAGAGTGATATTTAGTAGATTAATTCAAAGTCCACTTTATCCGGAACATGTTTATATTGAACGTTTTTATTTCGGGGCGATGTTGGGTAGAAGATAAGTTTTAAACCTTCAACAGGTTTAACAGATAGGCAAGGTTAAGTCCGAAATTAGAAGTGCACCACAAGGCTTTACATTTCATCACAGTTGAGAATGTACTGAGTGTCAAGTGATTATCAGGAATGAGAGAGAGAGATTGTGTACATGTCACTCAACAAAATGTACGTCTTATATAGATAACCACGGGGCCCTTGCCGCTAAAACATGTCAATACATTTTACACAGGGTATTGTGTATCACAGGAACTAAACAGTATTTAGCCTACATTGTACTTTGTGAAGTAGCTACCATTAGCCGCTGTGTGCACCGTATGAGTAATAATTTGTTATAATCTAAGACCGGTAAAATTCAAAGAGGCTCGAGTGTTAGAGAAACTACTCATTAACATAAGTTTCTGATGCCGATTAGTTAGTAATTATCTGTAGATATGGAGGTGAACTGTATCTTTTGGACACGTGACAGTTAGTAGCCAAACGGCTTCCAGCATTGACCAATCAAATCCAAGATTGTCACGTGTCAAAACAAATTCAGCTTCCAAATCTATTGAATCACACTTTTAATGTCTAGTGTTAACTTATTAGATAATATTAATAACCAAGAGGCATTAAAAGCTCAATTTACTTGCTCACTAACTGAAGTCAAACCCCTAATTTAGATAATTAATAAATAATTAAATAATTGGATAACCACTCACCAGGAGGAGACCAGATGTTGTTAGAGAAGGGACTGTAAGTTGGCGGGGCTACTGGAGCTGAATGAGAGTGTCCTAGGAGTAGGTGGCCGCTGTTTGACCGGCACTGCTGAGAGAAGAAAAAAGGGGTTTAGTTTTTTTACTTAGTTTTACACATTTTTTTACTTTTAAAGTTTATAAAGTTGGGTACTGAGGGGATTTTTAGTGTCATAGTTGGGTATATTGTGGAGGGTTCCTAAGCGAAGGCACGTAATTGTGAGTTTTATTTTTAGGTATTTGCGGTATTCATAGTAGTTGCTTTACGTCGGAATTTTATAAATGCTTGGTCAGAAAAAATGTCACAATAATCTATAGTAAGAGTCACTACTATAATGTAGTTTTACGCGATTACACAAATTAAATATGAACTCCCCAAACCATCCACTCCTCAGTTAACAAACTACCAACAGTACACACACAATAACACTTATCAAAGTGCTAGATCAGTGATAAATCACCTATCAAAGTGCTAGATCAGTGCTAGATCTGGAGAGAAAGAGTTCATTTGATGCATGTCAAACTCAAGCAGTGTGCAGCGCGCTCGCCAGATTATATCATATAAATATATATTCATTATATAGTACAGTTTAGTGAACTGTTGGATGCAAACTCAGTTTGCCGCAAACTGCTGGACTATCAAAATATAGACAAATTTACATTTAGAACCTTGTGTATTGAGGTATTTATAAATATACTGGTGGATGTGCTGATGATGGAATTGGAACCGTGCCAACATGTTATAATATGCCAAAATAAGAACTTTATTAGATAATATTAAAAAATATAGCTCTCATTATGCAATAAACAGAGTGATGTTATTTTAGTTGAATAATGGTTAGCTCCGCGTTATAATGCAATAAATAAAGGCCGATGGTTTTATCGCCGCTGAACTCGACAGAACAAATGGAACTTCCTGGTTGCTATTACAGTCCGCTATTATTGAAATTATATCCATTGATGATAAGCACGTGATGACCGTGCTCTTTAATTTACACACGAAATTTGTCAGGCTCGCAGACACTTTACGGCGGCCGGTATGTAAAGTATTAAGGTTTTGCCAGTAGGTGAGTGGTGTTTCCTACTGTAGATGAGATGTAGTGTGTGTGTGGTTATAGGTAGTTGAGGGGAGGGTTATGGATGTTTTCACTTATTTTCCATTATTGGCTTATTTACCACTTATTTACCAATTATTCACCAATTATTTACCAATTATTTACCACTTATTTACCACTTATTTACCACTTATTTACCACTTATTTTCCATAATTGACTGCAGGCGGTGTCAACAGCTTTAAATCCTTTTATATTTCTTACTTATTGTTTTTGACGAGGGATATAAAACAGACATAACGTGTTCATGGGAATTTGAAAAGGAATTAAAAATAGAAAAAAAATAGAGGTCAAATATTCTGAATTTTTTAAAGTTATAAAAAATACAATTAACGTGTCCTAACCTGCCAGTTTGGTTTATTTCCTCTGTTGAATTTGTTGTAACCGGAGTAACCACCGGACGACTGGTGGTTCACACCGTTAACCGGCTTTATCGGGTACTTTATCTTAACAGAGTGGGGGAAATTAGTCAGGTCAAACCTCTTCAGCTGTATCACCTGGGTTTATGTTATTATTATTTGTGATTTAGTTTTCGTGTATATTTAGTGTATATTTAGTGCATATTTTCCTTAAATTATACATACAGTAAAATAGTAAATTAAGATTTACTAATATAGCTCTCGAAGTTTCAATTTATTTATTATTTATTATTTATTGAAGTATTTTAAATGAATAACAAATTTAAAGGATTTAAATTTGAAGCAAAATTCAAAACAATCTCAATATATTACCTGTCCGTTCCTGTAGTTGTAGTTGTCGATGCATTGCTGTAAAATCTCACACACGATTCGTCGCTGTTTATCAGGAAAAGCCTACGGAAAAAAATATTCTTAGGAACATTCCAAGGAAAACAGGAAGATAATAAAACGAAAACGATCAATAGTTTAAGGAAATAAGACTATTAAGTTTTAATAACTAACCGCGTGTTGGGCAGCATCCTCCAGTAACTTGAAAAACAGCTTCTGACAGTCTTCTTCAATGTTGTTTGCCAGGATTATATTTCCAGCTGAAGACAAGTGGGTGTCGGTTAGTAAAAATCAAAATATCTAATCAATTGATAATATTAATTATTAAGTTAATGATGTCAAGGATACAGCTCAAACTTAGTAAAACTATCAGCAGCTATGATTATGGTAACTGATAACATTAAAATTCGGATAGGATTAAGCAAGATTCTGGGATGGGTTAAGCTTAAACTTGGATCAGCACAAATGATCATTATTAAAAAATCCTAATTAAGCTTATATCACGTGACTCGCACTAACCAGTTTCCAGAACAGTAGTGTAAACATAGATCAGTTCGCAGGTCGGACTGTCGTAATCCGGATCCGGATTAGGAGCGAGGGGAGAGGAGGGGGGAAGCCGGAAGGGGGTTTTCATCAGCATGTTGTGAAGCTCCGTCACACAGGGATTGAAACGTCCAGGTTTGGAGAGATCCTGCGAAAGGGATGAAATTAGAAAATTTATTAATATAATCAATGATAATATAGATTATTGATCCTTTTAGTGTAGACTAATTTTATTTTTATATTTACCCTATTTACTATTTAGTGCGAACGATACATCATGATTTTTATTGATATTTTTTGAATGTTTGATTATCATAATATAAATTTATGTAATATCTTATTCGAGGCCCATGCCAGCCCATGCCATGGGAGGGGGGGGGGGGTAAAAATTGGCCAAAAAGTGATAACGTAATATTATGAACCACCCCTAACGAGCATACAACTCACATTCATGATATCCTGCAGCAGACCATGTCTTCCAGACAACTTCTGAATGTTCAGCAAAATCTTCCTCCTCGCTCCCTCCGTAATATCACCCAGTTTCAGTTCATTTAACTCCACCATGGTGTCGTAGTTCATGGCTGAGAGTTTGGCGTAGTACTTGTGTAGACGCAGTGTTTTCAGCCAACTCATCAGCGCTGAGAGGTGGGAATGTTAATTAATTAATTAATGTTGATTGGTATACTGATTTACACTTGGTTCAGGCCCTAGAGGCTAGACGCGCAATTTGAAATGGTGAGGCTGCATTTTCAGGCACATGGCCAATGTTAGCGTACAGAAAAGGACTAATCACCGTTCTTATGTTTTGAAACAGCAGTAAAACCTAAGTTCCTTCTTCGGTTTTAATTGCTTAAAGCGTGGTTATAGAATATTGAATGCCATAAATTTGGCTTTTACACTGAAAATAGTTACACTGGGTTTTTCTTAATGGGATGACAAAAGATCTAGATTTACAACTAATGCCATCATACCATTGTACAAGAGTACAAGACACGGTTACGGAGTCACCGTATACACCAAGTAAAGTAAACTCAGTTAACAGCCCGGGAAAAGTTAAATATCAAAAATAAGGAACGAGATTTCTAAATGTTGGGAACGCGAACGTTTGTTTATGAATGAGTTAGATTAATGATAAGGGGCATTTCAAGTGGTTCAACGCCAACCAATAAAACACACGGAATTCTAACACGTGACCAGCTACATACCAGTCATATGAGAGGTAACATCAATAGCTCGCTCTCTGTGCTGCACCTTACATCTCGTCCCCACAAAGTTCCCTCCACCCAATGGCTCACTCTGGGACCTTTTAAAGATGACGCCGCTGTTACGACGACAGTGAGGCGGCAGGCTAGCGAGTGCCGGCGGTGGCGGTGGCGGCGGCGGGAATTGGAACATGAAGTTGGGGTTGTAGACGAACATTTTGTCTTGTGTTGGCGAAGGAGAACAGGATGATGATCTGTGGGTCGTAGGATTTAATTAATAAATTAAATTAAGTGTTGTGGTTGCAAAGTTATTTTAATTGGGTTAACAAGGCAAAAATAGAGCTTTTCGTTGGTTTTATTAAATACAAAGTATCTAAAGTAAGAGCCTAAAAGCCCATTATATTTTTATTTAGGTATGTACTCAAAGCGCACTGTAATTTGACAAGCTCATTACATGTGGCTTCATCAACAAAGATTATCAAATTTTATTGATCAACAATTAATTAAGTTTATCAATTAATGTATATTATTGTTACATTTTATCGATCAATTAATTAAGTTTATCAATTAATGTATATTATTATTACATTTTATCGATCAATTAAGTTTATTAATTAGTTAATTAACTAAATTACCTATCAGAGCCCCCAGAACTGTAACCGCTCTCCGACTCGTGGTAATTTGGGAACAGTCGATCAAACAGGTCAACCCAGTGGCACAGAGACGCGCGCTCTGCTACCGTAAACGAGGGGTGACTGAAATCAATTAGTGGTTACTAATGGTGTAATTGATTAAAGTTGGTCATTATGTGAAAATATGATGTTTGGGTTCATTTTAGTATGAACTAAAAAGAGCTGAGGTGAGGCATTGTACCATTGTAAGAAGGCAGAACAAGAAGGAATGTTGAGATGTTGTAAAAGAGAGCTATGATTATGTAACACGTCATATCATGACACAAAGACTCAGTGGTGTTCACAAATCAGTCACGTGACATAAAATAAATCAGTCACGTGACAATACACAAATCAGTCACGTGACAAGACAAGGTAAATACCTGAAAACGAGCCACAGAAGCTGTCTGCACTCCTCTAGATGTGTCTGAGTCTCGTAACTCCGGCAAATAGTCCGGTCAACAAGCTTTAGGTACAGTTGATTCAGGACCGGGTTACCTGACACGTTTTACATTAATTAATTAATTAACTTATTAGTTGATTAATTAACTAATTAGTTAATTGATTCAACACGTATGACCTATAATAAATTATAAGACCCAACGTATCTACTATCTATACTGACTTTAACCCCCCCCCCCCCCCCTGTAAACTACTAGTTAAACTATTGTCACGTGTACTGACCTGGTCCCAGTAGTTTAGTGAGCTCTATCAGTTGAGTGGGGGTACACACACCTCCCTCCATACTTGCCAGATATCCTGAAATAATTGGGGTTACACAATGAAATATTATAATTAGCTAATCGATTTTGTGTAGATTGTTCCAAATTTGAGAAATGACTAGAGTGTGGTTGCCAGATTTTGTTCCGCAGATTAACTTGTTTTGGTGTTTAGTATGGTAATAATATGAAGTTTAACTTGCAGTGAAACTGAAGAGCGGCTTTCTCTCTGTGATGAAAATATTTATTATGAGCGCAAGAACATACGTATATTAATACTGAGTAACTTTTTGAATAAAGCAGATATTATTTCTAGGAGAACTCCTCAAGTTCGCTTTATTTAACTGTAACAGTTAACACTGTCCATATAAACAAAATTAATCATCCATATAATCATGGCTATCATTCACAATAACCCCAATAATGGCACAGCGATTTTTTGGCAGAATATCACATATTCCATTCTTCCCAGAAGAATGGAGCATTGTTGCGTTTCTTCAACTCACTATTCTGAGTGATTGGTGATGCACACGTGCTAGATACACACATTGAGTATTGACTATCAAATTGACGACTTCAACTAAATTATACACACAATCCATTTCAATTGTGTGGTGAAGGTACAGGACGTGTTACTGCGTTACACGTGTACTACACGTGTAACGCAGTAATAGGGAATAATTGACATGGTGATAGAAAGATACACTGTTTTTTTAGACAAAGAAATCGTGGATTATCGGGCACTGGCAGGTCGGATAATATATACATGATATGAGATGTGTGTAGTTTTATGAGAGTAGCTAGTTCAACTTTGGACACGGTTATCAAATGATGTTGTATCAACTTATAACATCAATTACAGTTGAATATATTTTTAGAAATTAGAGCGACCTACAAGATGATTCGGCCATGTATTTTAGTTTTTTCTTTAGATATCATTTTATAATTCTTTATAATTCCACGTCGGAATAACGTGTGAACACTCACACGTGTGTAAGGATCGGTATTCAGATTTTTTCAGATCGACATAAAACCAAGACCCCCATCTAATGCTAACAAGGTTTTAACTTATTAAAAATAAAATGTTTGTACAAATAATTACGATATTTTTTGTGTTTGTATGGGTTCGAAAGTATGTGACTGTGATATTATATTAGTGATATTAGTGTTGTTAACATATTTAAGATATTTTAAATGATTAACATAAATTAAGTTTTGTAGCATAGTTATCATAGTTTTAAAGTATAGCTTAACATTCAGCCACAATCTATTCCGTGCTTTATCTCCTAATAACAAGCGGGTTTTCTTTTTTCACGTATAAACATGACAATTGGCAGTGGGATTCGGTTGGTTCGTGAAAATTTAGAAAAATAATCACCATAGAACAACTTAGGACAAACCATCTAGATCAATCTTCAGACCAAAGCCAAGGAAAAACACACAAACAAACCTCAGTAAGTTGCCAGAAAACAACCCTTTAAACCTCCAACATTCCCCAATATTAACAAAAAACAATACACAGTGATTTCAGACTTAAACTTGGATCACAGAAACCGGGCACGAAATAAGCCTCACAAGTCACATCTAGAAGAAATCGCTCAAATCTAAACTTTCACAAAAAACAGGATTATCAATATCATAGAAAAGAATGCAAAATGTACATGGTAAATAGTATGCAGTACGGGTTGCGTAAAAAAGTAGCACTTTCCATTACTAATTTTAGGCTTACGTAGTTTATGCGGCTGAGCGCTGTAAGTTAATTAGTAAAACTACTTCACAAGTCACGTGATATTTTCCAAGGCTTCCTATTGGCTGGCAGTATTTTCATTTGCATCTGATTGGCAGAAAGGAAACAGAAACAAGCTGGTCGTGCACCAATGAGATGGGTTCTCATCAGTTACCTAGTGTTACGTATTAATTTTATATTGGTTGAGTAAATTATTGATACGCAGCAGCGGTACAGCTAATACATTAGGTAAATCCAGCCCTATGATATATTCGGAGTGAAGTTTAAATCTTAATATTTAAATTTAATTAATTAATTGTGTTACTTATAAACACATATAATCTACGAGCTACTAGTACTTAGCAAAAGACACAAGATGTGACCGATTTGCCGTTATTAGAGCACGAGGCAGGAAGTTCGGTAATTTTCGCACAGTGGCGATAATTTAGGAAATGATAGATGTTATCAATGAATTTGATATCAGATGATTTAATTGGGTCACTGCAAGCTGTAGACGGGAAGCGGGGATGGATTACTGCTCTATCTTTTTTGGTAATATTTTAACCAATAACCATCTGACAATGGTATGATCAGTCAAAAACAACAAAGTACAATAGCCAATGAGCCGACACGACAGTGACTATAATTCTGTACCAAGTTTTCACAAATTACAACACAATAAAGATAGTATCTTATCCGACCTACTTTCAACAGAAGGATCCACATCACAAGAATCTTCCCACATTTCCTCCAACTCTAAATCTTCCATAACAACACAGAATCTAACTCGTAACAAAGAAATAATCAAAAGATAATCAACGATACAAGAAAAACTTGGCAGCGATGAACATTAAACACACACGCAGATTATCTATTCCTCCACGCAAACTCTTTCTCTGTAGCTCGATTGCATACTTCTTAAGCTCACATGGCTGCATGTCAAATGCAATTCCAGCAATTCTACAGCTCAGGAAAAAGTTTTAACATTTACTTTTTAACCCTTGCGGTTTTGTGACTGATATAATATATTATATATTATATATTATAGTAATGTTATATGTATGGCGAATTATATATGTTAGGAACTTACTGTGTGGGGATTATATATTTCGTAGAATGCTTTTAAAAAAGCTTTTAGAGTCAGTCCACAACCAACCAATCCAGTGCGACTGTGCAAATTTAATTTTATGTACATGTAAAAGTTCAATGAACTATCAAGGGTGGGCCGTGGATATGATTTTAAATTATCTCTTTGATATATTATATTGTAATATCTGGATCACTTTAATAACTGATATGATATCAGGGGGCCAGTAAAATGTTACAGCGCTGCAAACACAAGCCAATAAAATGGTCGAGTCTGAGTATATATTGCATGACGAACTTATTGATAAAGTTAATATTAATAACGACAACGTTTCCATCAGTATAAATTATAAAACAGTGATCTTGGTTATATCAGTGAGGGCTCTTTTAAAATAACGATCAACTTTGCATGTGGAGTATTATAATTTATAAATACATGCTGGCACTTTCCATGGAATACATCTGGCGGGACAATGAGAGGTATTTGCGTTCGTGATTTAATGGACCAGTTAGTGAGTTGTAGATATTTAAATTTCCTTGTTATAAATTGGATTTCCGGGTAAAATATAGATTATTGTTTACGAATCATTTCTGGTTTATAATAACTTACTTTGAGTATTGAGTATTATCATTATTATAATATAATAGACATATTTTTCTTAAGACAATGGTAACATGTTTTTAAGTCTGTGAAATCCATCCATTACAACTGAAAGACATGTTCCTTTAAAGACCTCTTGAGTATTTTCATAACCCTCTGCAAAAATAGACGTGCGATGAAAAACATTTCCTTCACACTTAGTTTTCCTGCTAGCGTCAAGTACAGCACTTAGTGCTTACGCATTATCTTGATATCGCTGGCCATGTATCAGGAATTCGCGACATATTTAAGGATATTCAAGTTATTTTACAGGATATTAAAGATAGTTAAGACGGGTTATTTTGTCGTGTTATAGTTTATTTTCATCATCATATATTGTCCCTGGCTTTCTGCAGCACAAACTGTGATACTTGTTTGGTTTACTGATAAATGATATTCCACACAAAGCATGAAATTGTGCTGTATATGAGTGGTGATTTCGCTCTGAGAATCAGGGTCAGTAGCTCAATTGGTAGAGCAAGAGACGCGAAATCTCGAGGTTCTGGGATCATTCCCCAGTTAACTGCAGTTGTCCCTAGTTTTTCAGAGTTAATCATCACATATAGACAGCATGAGAGTAGGCCTGGCCATCTGGAAGTGATAATAAACTGTGATACTGTTATGTCACTAAGTGTACACAGTGTAGTAGACTACAGCATCATTCGCTGTAAACCTACATATTTTAGTCCTTTCCAGTATTAGACAAAGAATTTGTGAGCCTACTTAGAAGCCTAAAAACGGGTCCTATTATAGCTGTGACAGAGCACATAGTTTTCAGGTGCTCTATAGAATAAACCTCATACTGATGAAACCCTCGCACACACATAATATTACACGCATATCACACGCATATTACACGCATATTACACGCATATCACACGCATATTACACGCATATTACACTTAAAGTTCTGAAACAACAATTTATGAAGGTACACAAAAACCACGTACCTAGTATGCCTAAAACACCGTACATACACCCCATTATATGGTAAGTGGAACGTGAACAATACAATTTGATTTCGGAACCCACTTATTACCCAAGCGTTAATTATCAATTACAATTCACAGGTGCCCTAGGAAACTCTGCTGCTCAGTGCTAGCGTTAAAGTAATGACCTGCACTCTCCACGCGATATCACGATGTAACAATAAGGATGGAATCATGAATAACCATGGCAACCGTGTTAACCGTGTTTACATTCACATTCCACACTTAGGATTGGGTTTTACGAATGAAATGTTTTATCCCAGCTCTTCCAAGCCTGGTCCCTATGGAATTTGTGTAGGGCGTGGGTTCGGGCACGGGCGTGACCATCAAAGTTCTCTAAATATTTCGTGTGATATGTCTGCATTCTTTAGTTTTTGAGACACGCGCCCTTCGACTTCCTATCTTTGAGTGGTATTCTATTTCTAATGTGTTATATATTTGTATGCATCTGAGCTGTTTACTCTGCCAAGTCTAATTTGACCGATACAAAACAAATTTCAGGCTCTTAACTTTCAGGTACTTACTGATAAAGATGTCACTCGGAGAGTTCACATATTTTCCAACATTCAATGTGGTGTGAACAAAATTAGAGTATATCATATTAGGGGCTTTCTTTGTGTTTACATATTGAGCTGGAGCATTGCCAAAATTATTGTACACAAAACACTTCAACTCTGGGATATAAATGTGTCACGTGATGAGAGATCTAGCATGATGATTGCCGATTGGTTCACACAGACCACGTGACATTACACAAAGCGATCTGATTGGTCAACGCATATCACGTGATAACAACATTAGACAGCAAATGTGTGTCTATAAAGCCTGGATATTGGGTTACAGTGGGTTGCTATGTTAAAGTAGGTATCATTATAGGTGCACTGCACACCCACATTTGTTAACTTCGTTATCTCGATGCTAATGTATTAAATGACATCTATCTCTCTGTTGAAGCTCTAGGTTCTACGAGGTGTTAACTTTATTTTACTCTCTGACATAACTTAATTCCGTCCTTACTTTACACCTTAAAGACCAAATTTCTTTGATATAAAATTCAGTGATCATGTTGGAAACACTGATAGGACCAAACGGCAAATACATTTCTTTGATCCAGGTCGTGATTTTGCTGGAATGTGAGTAGATATTGGCTGTTGGTGCTTGAGAACCGTAGAATATCTTACTCGATATTTCAATTGATGGTTTCACCAAAAAAAGCTAACTGGAAATACAGAATATAATCTCATCAGATAGGAATAACTTTATAAAAGATAAAGACGTCTTATAAAGATAAGACGGTTGGTTTAGGCTGGTGTCCAATGAAATGTGGCGCCTGCGGCTATCCAAATTCGGCCTCCAATTAAACCGCTGCGTAATTTACATTATTCAAAATACTAGGTTTAACAGGCCAGATACCAATCTGTATTCATGAGCCGTATTGTTACTTTCTGTTATTGTGCTGCGTATAATATATATTGACCACGGGTAAGTACTAAGTACACAAAATGTAAGATCCCTGTCGCCAGTACGAGAATTCTGTCACCAAGTGTATCCGTTTGGTACATTTTACAATATTAATTGTATCATGTTAATCATGATCCTCGGCCTTCTAGCTCACAGATTTTACGGGATATTATATATTATGGAAATAAGGGTAAGGATATTACGGCTTGAGCCTATTCAGTATTCCCTTGCTCTGCTATACACTACTTACTAATACCCTAGACTCAGTCTACATTCACTATGTAACCTGGATCATTAAACATTACACATACCATTACACAAAATACACATACCATTACAAATACCATTACAAATACCATAATACATACCATTACACATACCATTACACATACCATTACACATACCATTACACATACCATTACACATACCGTAACACATACCATTACACATACCATTACACATACCATTACACATACCATTACACATACCATTACACATACCATTACACATACCATTACACATACCATTACACATACCATTACACATATTACACACGCAGTGGATTATCATTACATCGTTTATCGTTACAAGTCCTCATTAGCAGAGGGCCAGTGTCATGGTATGTCAAGAATCCTTGGAGGAATGCCAGAAAGGTGTAAGCACAGCAAAATAATAAGATTTGTTCATGTCAAATATTTGCACAGGTTATCAAATTAAGATATCACCAATGATATCGGTGTTTAATTACCGTTTAAACTTCAGGGAATGTTCCAGTAAAATAAAACGGGTGGTTTAAAAAGATGATTTTTCTGACCATTTAGCGGAGAAAAAGTGTAATTTATCACTTTAGTTCTTCTGTGGAATTCACAGTCGAAGAGTCCAACTGAATTAAATAAAGTAATGAGTGTTTCACTTTGACACACTCGTCACATAAATTAAACTTTTAAACTAGCAACAGTCAACACATTACACATTTTCCCTATTAATAGAACAGGAACCCGCTTGCCGGCTTAGATTTGTTACAGAATCAAGCCGAATAATAATGCCAAAATCTAAATTCACTGTTTCATTAGCTTGATTTCAGTGAGGGTTGATGACCAAAACATGGACAATCCATATCTTCCCATCCGTTTCAAAACTGAGTGTACTCGGTAGTATCGGCACTCAGCTGATGTGAAATTTAAGCTGCGTACTCAAAGTTGTCTTTGAAGCATCTCTCAAGGGAATTAAATCGGAATTTGCAGCTGTAAACATCTGTGTTATCTTAATCTAATTTTCTAAATAATTCCATGTATTCGGACGGTTCATGAGATATTTTGAAACAATTCCCAGATCATGCTTAAAGATATTGGTAACCAGAATCATTCTGTTTGATAACAAATTAGCTGTGACAATTTGAACATAATCTCATACATGACATACAGAAGTTGATAAATTAATTAATTAATAATTAGCTAATTATAAACGAGTACTAGATGAACCAGTACCCTGTGTACCAGGTGGCTGCAGTACTGTGAGCTGCGTGGAGGGACCTCACACAACTCTGTAGACCTATTGTTGGGCTACACTCTGTTTCTATACAGGTTCCAGATGTTCAGAGAGGGGACATTGTACACTGACTTGTGATTGGTTGATTGAGATCACGTGATAGGTGGTAATTGGTTGGATTTA